GGCTAAGAGGGTAGGGTTGAAACTTGGAACAAATGCCCTCATTATGCCTTAATGTGTATGCTACACGTCAACTTGTGAAAATTGAAGTTATATGAATTAAAGTGGAAATTTATTCAACCTACAAATCGACCTTTCACTTTATGACACCCTAAGTTGAGTAATTGTAATGCTTATACACCCGTAAAATTATAAATTATAATTTTTATACTAAATATTACTGTCTAGTTTTACTTTTTTAAGTTCAAGATTTTATGTTCAAATATCGTGAATGAAAATACCAAATTAATATATTGACCCATTTTGTAGCTTAACTTAACCCTCACTTCTTACTATAAACATATCCGTTATATTAAAACAAGATTTAGTTTGTATACGAAAAGGGAGTTCAAACCCCAATATTTACAAGGGTTGTGATTTTCACACACCCTTAACTACTTTTCCCACACTATTTCTTATTTTTTAATACTTAATTGGTATCCTACTATTTAATCTTCCATATATACCCTTCCTACTTTTTTATGGTAATTAATGAAAGATTAAATAGGGAGGGGTATATATGGAAGATTAAATAGTAGGATACCAATTAAGTATTAAAAAACATGGAGGGATGTGGGAAAAGTAATTAAGAGTGTGAAAATCACAACCCTATTTACAAACATAATACTTACGTCCCATTTGGTATTTTTTTTTTCTCACCTTAAAAATGCTTCACTTCAAAGTTAAGAGAGAAAAACGTGTAGTGAATATCCTACTTATTTTAAAAGTAATCGGCTGTAGGTTGTAGGTTACGGTAGAGCTCATTTGGAAGTACTTTTAAAATTTCTGAAAATACTTTTGGTGAAAATGTATGTAAAATCAATGCTTAGTAAAAATGCACACAAATCCTATAAAGCACTTGAAGTGCTTCATGCAAGAAACTCATGCATCTTATAGAAAGCATTTCAAGTGCTTTTAGGACCCAAAAATATTTTTTCTAAAAAAGTTTTTTATTATTTTAAAAATACTTCTAAACGAGTCTATAATGTTGTGAAAAATTGATTTCATACAAAATGGAGCTGGGCTTTAATGAATATTTTTAATTCTTTTAATGCCCTTGCTAATTTTTTTAAACTGATGTTGTTTATCCTTCTACACACATCACTTTTATAAGTAGACTTCATAGCACAACAACAACAATTATATTCTGCACACATCACTTTTACAACTAGATTTCATAAAACGCTCAACCATTCTATTTTACAGCTAATTAACATGAATAGTTATTTTTAAAGGCATTATCCCAAACCAGTTGTGTACTCCCTCCCTTTTCACTCACTCTCATTCATTTTATAAACAAGGGCATTACTTGAGTCATGTCCACTCATTGCAACTGTTAAGTTGTCAACCTTTCGACGTCGTTTGACATACATGATCGGATTGAAATGGATGTGACACTATTTTAAGAGTGCGTTGAAAAATGAAATGAATAAATTACATCCAACATAGAGGTAGACGAAGGATTACCCAAGAAGAAAAGTTGTCCATTTCAATTATCTCCAAATGGAAGGACTAAAAGGGAGAAATTTTCTTCATTTCTAATCCTCTTCTAATCCTCTCAAAATGAAAAATCATTCTCCATAACCTTAGGTGAATGCAACACATACTTGTTTCACATATGACCAGGTTCACTACCAAAGGTGAATGCATAACCTTAGGTGCTCTTCATATCATCCTCTTAATTAGCCACTCCATCACTGTCACAATATCCTATTAGAATAGTCTATTCCAGCTAATTGCCCTTATTTTTTCCAAAAATGCTCAGTGTAGTCTTTGCCGAGTTTTTTCTTTTTGTTTGTCCACCAGAATTGCGAGAGCAGTCGTTCTTAGTCTTTATATAAATTTACCAGCAGCTTAAAGCAAGACGTATGTTTGGCAGTGACGATGCTACCTCTTTTCTAGCTATCCGGCGGTTAAAACTACCCTGCCCACCCATTAACACGATCTGAGACTTTTCGAAGTGACTTGCTCCGATAGTTCGTTGACGTCAATTCATCGTGAGGTTCGTTCCGGAGCTTATGTGATATCAGTCATTCCGACCAGCTCGATCTTGTGGTCCAAAATTCATGGTCCCATAATACCCTTAAATGCTAAATAATGAGACGGTATAGAAAGTTCATTTCTTGCTTTTGTAGAAGTAGATATATTAATTTTTTAAGGGGAACAACTTACTAGATTCAAGACACTTGGAGAATTAGTTTCAAATTGTGACGTTGAAGGTAGAAGATGAAATATTCATTCCGAGAAGTTGTCACTTATAATTCTACAATGTTTTTTGAGATAGAAATGCTAAGGAGACTCTCTTAAAGTGGAACTTTTTATGAACTCTCCACCATCTCATATTTTTTACATAATGTTTTGTAATGTTGGTACGACAATATTGATGCATAACCTGAGAAATGCAAAATGTTTCAAATAGTAACGTACGCTACGCAACCTGAGAAATGCAAAAGCATGCATAATATTGATGCATAACCGAACAACAAACCATAAGGAAAAAAAAAACAAGAGGAAGAAACAAAATACATAATTCGTTTCGACGTGACATCCTCTTTTGTTTATACAACAAACCTAATTAGGCGAAGAAATGAATCGGGTCGGGTGATGCATTGGCTTTTAGTATTCTCCAAACTCCAACTTCAAATGTGGCAATGTCTGTAACTATCAGAATTTCATAGAATACAGAGTTGGCACCGACGATTTGTTAAAATCCTCAAATTTGTCACTACTCTCTACTTAGTAGTACAAAAAATTGAAGAAATTACAATTTTTTTCAAATGCCGATGTAATTGATAAAAAAGTTGAAGTACCCCGTAGTCCGGACTATCAAAGACGGAAAAAAATTGTTCTTCTTCTCCCTCCTCACCATTATAGATCATTCAAAAAATCATCAGAAAAAAAAAAAAAAAAAAAAAAAAAAGGAATGGGATTTGAGAAAGAGCATATAGTAATGCTGCCATTCATGGCTCAAGGCCATATCATACCATTCCTATCACTTGCGAAGCACATCCAACAGTCAACAAACTTCTCAATCACCATCGCCACCACCCCTCTCAACATCAAATCCCTCCAATCCACCATTTCCTCCGCCTCATCCAATCACAACAACATGCACTTGGCCGAACTTCCACCCCTCACCGATAAAACTGATATAACAGGACAAGAAGACGTCAACAATCCAGCGAATAAAGCTGGTCTTGCGTCGTGGGTGAAATTAGATTTGTGGTCAGCCACTCTGCATCGCTTAGCCGTTGCAAGATCGATCATTTCAGCCCATCACTTTTGCGTTGTGGATTTTGATTTCCTGCCGTCAACTGCGTTCATACCCATTTTTCCAATTTTCAAATCTAGCACCCTAACATTTCTGAATTTGGCTCTATCTTCCATTTACACCTCATCTCTCCCTCTCCCTATCTTTCTCTCTCTATGAATTTGTTCAAAATTTTTGTTGGATTCTTTTGGAACGTTGTTTAAGCATTTAAGTTGATGATTTCATATGACGCAAAGTGTGCAGTGGGTATAACATAAGGTAGAACTAAACGTAGATGTAAAACGTTTAGAAACTAAACTGCACAAAAATTTAGAGTTCAAAGAGAATTAAGTATTTTGTGCAAGACAATTGGGTCACAGCCACCACTTTGTGATGAAGAACTACAACAATAGTAATCTGTTTGATCTTCACCCCGTTATCAGGCATTACATAATTTTAGTGACAATTTTTAACGTTTAAATTATTTTTTAATATTTTCATTTTCTATATATAATTGTAAGCATTTCTTTATCGTTAATTAAGTAATTAGTTATAAGGGTAAACTTATGAATTTATTAGAAGAATTTTGACTGCAGGGATTATGTGAAGGTGAAATAAAACATGAAGGGTGTTAGTGTAATGTTTCAAATGTGAAGGGATTTTGTGAAAACTCGATAAATCTCAGGGGGTGTTAGTATAATTAACCCAGTAAATATCCTACTTATTTTAAAAGTAATCGGCGGTAGGTTGTAGGTTGCGGTAGGGCTCGTTTGGAAGTACTTTTAAAATGATTGAAAGTACTTTTAGTGAAAATGTATGTAAAATCAATGCTTAGTTAAAAAGAAAAACTAATGAAAATGACTTGAAAACTTTGAGTTTTAACGATAAAGACAAAATAAAGGGTAAAGTGAATAGTATCAAGATTGATTTTTTTGTGTAAAAATGTGGTTTTTCGTTAAAGTGAACAGTACCGTGGGCTTTTTGTTAAAACTCCCTAGTTAAAATGCACGTGAATCCTAGGTAAAGCACTTGAAGTGCTTCCTGCAAGAAGTGCTTTTAGAACCCAAAAATATTTATTCTAAAAACGTTTTTAATCATTTTAAAAACACTTATGTAATGTTGTGAAAAATTGATTTCATAAAAAATGAAGCTGAGTCTTTAATGAATATTTTTAATGCTTTTATTGCCCTCATTAAGTTTTTAAATAACGCTGTTTATCCTTCTGCACACATCACTTTTATAATTAGATCATAGCACAACAACAACAGTTATATTCTACACACCACATTTACAACTAGAGTCTATAAAACGCTTAACCATTCTATTATACAGCTAATTAACATGAATAGTTATTTTTAAAGGCGTTATCCCAAACCAATTGTGTACTCTCTCCCTCTCCCTCTTCACTCACTCTCTTTTATTTTATAAACAAGGGCATTACTTGATTCATGTCCACTCCATGCAATTGTTAAACTGTCAAGCTTTCGACCTCGTTTGATATACATGATTGGATTGAAATGGATGTGACGCTATTTTAAAAGTACGTTGAAAAAAAAATGAATAAATTGTGACCAACATAGAGATAGACGAAGGATTACTCAAGAAGAAAAGTTATCCATTTCAATTGTCACCAAAATGGGAGGATTAAAAGGGAGAAGTTTTCTTCATTTCTAATCCTCTTCTAATCCCCACAAAATGAAAAATCATTCTGCGTAACCTTCAAAATAATGGAATTTAAAGGATTATCCATTCCAATTCAGTCATTTCTACCAAACGAGTCCTTAGCTCTTAATTTATTCCAAGCATTTTCTTGACTTCCAAGACAAAGTCATAGACTTTATATTTGTCAGGAAGGGTCTTGGAAACACTCTCCCTCAGGCTCCACCTTTTCACCCATTGCATTATCTTTGGGCACTCTTTCTCCACGCTAAAATTGCAAAACATCTCATATGTGTAAAACCTGCAGGCAAATGGTACCAGAGCGACATCCAGGAGGCCGAAACGATCACCTTCGAAGTAAGGCATCTCCCCAAGCTCGCCTTCTAACAGCTTTAAGACTTCTACAAACTCGTTCTTTGCTGCTTCCTGGTCTGCTCCCTTGCTAGCCCACATCCTTCTCCCACAGTCTGCTATCTGCACAAATATATAATGAATGGTTTTACTCTACCGACGCCTGAGGCCTTTTGTGGTAAAACTCTCCCACCAGCTGGAACTTGTTAAGTTTGAGACAACATCGGTGCTTAACTATTGAACTGTTAAAGGATATTCTTGGAATTAAAGAGTGAAGAAATAGGTACAACTTTCACTCGAGGATGAGTTACCTTGTTGTCGAAAAAGTCGACCCAAAATCTTGCTTTAGATCGACGATAAGGATCCTCTGAAAGTAGAGGAGGTTTGTGATCACTCCAAACGTCAGCAATGTATTGAAGAATGATGAGGGATTCACGTACGGGCTTGTCGTTATGAATGAGGACAGGAACTTTCTGATGCACTGGGTTGACTTTGAGAAGCAAAGGGCTCTTGTTTTTTTGGAGAAGATGTTCTTCTTCCAAATAGAGGTAATCGACTCCCTTCTCCGCCAAAGCAATTTTCACTCTCATGACATAAGGACTTGTCCAGAATCCCACAAAAACCACTTCATCCCCATCACCCATTTGATTACTTCCTTTCTGCTGTTTGGAGCAAAGTTGGGACTATTATATCTATATGGATTAATAGGAAGAAGTTCCAAGGTGTGTGTGTGTCTATATATATATAAGTAGATTCTTTGACACGGAAATCAAACTTGGCCTGTATGTATGACTAGCTAATAAATAAATTGATTTTCCTATGACAATAAAGGCGACTTAGAGTTCGTTTGAAAATGTTTTTTAAATTATTGAAAGTGTTTTTGGTAAAAATATATTTGTAATCATTTTTTTGTAAAAGCGCAAGTAAATCCTGAAAAAACACTGAAGTGTTTTTTGGTACCCAAAAACATGTTTTTTTCTTTTCTAAAAGGGTTTCAGTTATTTTAAAATCAGATCCAAACAAGCCCTTAGGCTAGAAGCTTTGTAGCATAGCTGGTTAATAGCATTCCTCCTTACATCTGAAGTCCTGAGTTTAGTTCCTCCCTCTATATATCGCTTGTATCTTCCTCGCAGTGTGAGAAATAAATAATCATATACATCGCTTGTGTGTCTTCCCAATGTGAGAAATAAATAATCATAAAATTAATAGAAAACAAAACAAGAATTTAAAAAGAAAAAAATAAAAATCCCTCCTATAAACTGCTATTTTTTTTTAACCTGAGATTCAAGGTCTGCCTCTACACAAATTAAATTTACGTGCTATGTACGTAATCCCTTACGTCTATGCTGAGAACCTACCAAGTTGATACTTGAAAATCTGATACTCACCCGTTAGCTTAATGTATCATGTCGTGTCAGTCCGTTAAAAAAATGGGTTGTCTCAGTTATGACAAAAAAAATAAAACAATAAAAAAATAAAACAAAACGAAAAACAGCCTACACTTCGTATACAACACTAATTTTTGTAAAAAGAAAATGTATTTTCAGTCTTTACATTACAAAAAATAAACTTAAGGGGTCCAGTATCCAACCTTGAGTAAGAAAACAAATCTTAGGGGAAGGCTGCAGAAATGTGGTCGGAGTGTGACCGAGCAAACCATTTTGATAGATGGAAACACTTGAATCTAGCTACCTAAGGGCTTCAATAAGACGCTGACAGAAAGCGCCATCAGTAGCCATCATAACCATAATCTTCATCGTCGTATGGTTGTTCATCAACATTTTCATCATCAACATTGTAGCCAAATACTCCAATTCCCTCCTCGTCTTCATATTCATTTTCTGGACCCAACTCATCAACATTGTCTTCCGCTTTGTCAGTGTCAAGATGAGATTCAAGTTTTTTCTTCTTGGAGCCATCTGGAGCTTCCTGTTAGAACAAGCAAAACCATATACAACATCAGCAGATGAATTCAACACGCATTCAACGCCAAACCATGAAAGTATATACAACGCCTAAGCTATCAACAAAACAGAGACATATTAGCAGCTAGCTATTAAATATCGCATGATGATAATACAGAAGATTCAAAGTAGATTCCAAAAATAAAATTAGCGAAAAAACAGGTATGAAACTCGCCATAGGCATGCCGCATGCAAGCAATAAAAGAGAATAGAGATTCAGCATTTAAAAACTAGAACCCAATAAGAGAAGCGCGTACATCTGTTTGGAATATATGCTCGATGGCTTCAAAATTGATTTTTGAGCTGAGTCTCTGCAAGGAAACCATGTTGAAATCCATCAACATCTGAAAGAACTAGACAATATGGTCTACAAATCTATGTAAAAGATTAATGAACAAAGTGCTCCACACATACAGCATATTATCAATCACCAGTTTACTTCAGCATTTGGTCAATCAAGAAAATTTCAGGAATGTACACCTTACAGACTTACAGTAGGCCCTACACTACAACAAAGTGACAAACTCACCCCAAGCCTGCAGACCTAATGTCATTTTCTTTATGCAACTTCTAAGCCTTATTGCATGTGAACTCAAAAGTCATAAATACCAGAAAATGGACAACTTATATGGAACTGCTGAGGTGCCCTAACCTACCAGACGATAACTCTTCTCTCACTACTTAGTCCGGTTTATGATTCAACTTGGGATGTTTGGGATTTGCACTAATTTGTAAATAATTAATAAATTATCACTACACCCTAATGGGAAATTGCTCCAAACTTCAAATTGATCTACTAATAAAGATGAATAATCGTGAAAAGCTCGGGCAAGAAATTTAATCAAGGAGCTAAAATAAATACCGATTCAAGATCGTAAGGTCTAAGATTAAGACATCCAAAGGTCATGCCTAAACACTCCCACTTTTGAGTGTCCTAAATCCTTACCGTAAAAAGAGATAGTGGCCAGGAATGATCTACTTAATTAAGCTAACTAATAGAGCCTCTCCGTTATAACATCTTTTTTTCCTTTTTTTTTTTTTTTTTTTTTTTTTTTTTTTCATATAGGAAGCTATAAATACCTTCTTAGTCAACATCTGGTGGGTAGCTTCGGCAGCATTTTTAGCTGGAGTAGAACTCCTTGCTTCGGCTTCTCGAGCTAGTTGCCTTTCCTGAAAATTAAAATTTCAGAAATAAGGAGGTTGCAAATCGTGTGAAAACTTATGAAGACGAAACAATTGTGCCTATGAATAAAATAAAGGGAGTTTTAATGAAAAGCCCATGGTACTGTTCACTTTAACAAAAAACCATATTTTTAGACTAAAAAGTCAATCCTGGTACTATTCCCTTTATTTTGTCCTTATCGTTAAAACTCAAAGTTTTCAAGCCCTTTTCATTAGTTTTCTTTAAAATAAAATCTGTTTATCATATTAAAGAGAAATGATATAGCAGAATAGGTTCCATTTATCAAAAAGATGGGAGAAAAAACCTTTCTTTTCTTTGCCATAGCTGCTGCTGTAGCCTGCCCAAGGTTCTTTGCATCTTCTGGAATGTCAGGATCCATACCAGCAGCCTTGTTTTGTCTCTCCTTTTCTGCTTGCTCCTGCAAAAGTTTACTGGGTTAGCGAAATATATGACAAGTATGAAAGATGACAGCATTAAACCAACATAGATGCAGATATATCAAGCCATGCATGACACGGCTAGGCTTTGGAATGATTTGGGATGGCTATATACCTTGCCAACCCCGACTTCTCCCAGTAATGAGCCTAGACTGGAAAGGCTGTTCTCTGATGGCTCTAGGGTAATTGTTTGTGCTCGGTGTTTTATAGGTTCTATCGTTCTAAGCCATATATCTTTTTCTGTTTTGGTTTGGTCTTCTTAACGAACCTCTCTGCTGTTTCCTTTGAAAATACATACTAGGTAATGGTTATCACTTTCTCCCTCACAATTAGACCAACAAAGAACTCACTAGCCAAAGTTGAGTTACAAATTTCTTCATTTTGTACAAAAAGAAAGGCTGATTCTCTCATATACCAATAATATTATGGCTTCTATTTTAACCAAGCATTTGACTTTTCCAACCCAGCAGTTCCTTTTTCCCCATTATCACCTATAAAATTTTAAAAACTAAAATCACAAATCCAGCTCCACTATGGTCGAGGACCTCTCAGCCAGAATGGGGTCAATGGCCTCTTGCCGGATCTGAACTTGGCGGGTTTTGGGGAGACACTGCCAGAGTCTGATAGCAATGGAGACTTCTGACGGCTCTGCTGGAACCGGGTTTGTGATTTTATTTTTTAATTGTAAAGGGACATTGATAAACAATGGGTTCAAATAGAAACTCTCTTCATATCGAAGTGGTTATTGTTTATTCACTACTTTAACATGAATATACTTCCACGTTCTCAGAAACGGGGACCCCATTATCATGGATGCTCGTTTTCCACTTTAAAATGTCAAGGTTTGAGAGCTATTGCCCCTTTACTCTAGCAAGTAATCAAGTAAAGTACCCTAAATAATCCAGTATAAAATAATGTCAATTCCAGGACCAGAGATCAGCCTTTTCAATTCTGTAGAGATATATTAGATATACATCTTTTGTCATTATATTTGGGATGCATAACGACAATCTGTCAAAGAATCACGAAATGGTAACTAAACACCGTCAATAAAGGTACCTCAATGTACTCCCGGTTCATTTCTTCCCAAATCATCTGTTTATAACGTTTCCCCTCTTCATTTAGAAGGTAGCTATCAACCTGTGTGATATCTCAAATAGTAAGTAACAATCTAAAAGTACAAGCACAATGAACCAAAATCGATGCAAAAAAATGAATCACGTGCATAAAAACAAAATTATGAATTACTATCATCAGAAGGTCGTCATCACGGTAGAGACATTTGTAACCAATCATTTATGATATCTCAATTACATGTGTAAGCACACTCTCTGATGTTAAACTCAAGGTGGGACATGCAAATTTAAAACAATGGGAATAAACCCAAATAAAAGACATTGAGAAAAGGCTATTTGTTCATTTAACCATTACAACCGCTAATCAGTTGTATTTTGAAGGTGCAAACAAAATAAACTATAACAAAAAGCCAAAACAACCATGTTAAACCATTATACAGGATCAAGTAATAGCTGAAAAGATAACGCATCACATATGATAGAAAAATATAAGGTCACATGTACATAACCAATGCAAATTACAATCTGACATAGGAATAAGTGTTAATGAAACGCAGTCAACAACCAGAAATTTTCAGCTCATACAGTGTTGCTCTTAGTTTTAGATTATAGAATCATTAATAATCAACTTTCATATCTCTGGAGCAGCCCCAATCAAGTATTTGGTAAATGGAACTTAAAAGTTATGTTACAAGCAAAAGTACTTTTACAGAGAACAGAAATAAAAAATAAAACCTGTCTAGGTTAATAATTACAAACCTCTGCATCCTCGATATCCGAGAGGTTGTCAGGCTTATCACAATCTTCAGCATCCGCATCAACAGTGGTACTTTCAGGCCCTGTAAACTGCGTTCTTTCGTCTCTACTTTCTGCTTTTGATTTGTTCAGTTCTTTCTCAAACTATCAAGATGAAATGAGGAAAAATAAACATCAGAGCAACTTTGTTATATGACTGACAAGGATAGTAATTAAGGTGTACAAGGTGGAAGAGTTATTATAAAGAATTGAGGAGAATCAAAAGTTCCGGAGATCTATTTCGATATGGAAAACTAGCCTTAGAGAGAAGGTCTGAGCCCTCCAGAAGACCTACTATACCTCTCCCTCTATTAGCGTGGGTCCTCATAATGCTTTTCCAAAGCAAACAAGCATAATAGACACTCAACCTTCAGTTCCATCCCACATGCATCTCAATAAAGTATAACCCAAACAAGGAAAAATCAAGACCATTCCAAATCAAATAACACTGGACCCTCAAAAAGAAATTAGGACATTTATCAACTCTTAAATCATGCCCGAAGAGTTTTACATATTATGTGTAAATAACAGAAATATGAAACACCACTGTTATTTTACCACCAATTACTAACTACTTAGCAGAAAAATAACTAAATGTAATGGTTACATTTGGTAACTGTTTACTGTTGTCCGGGCTTTGGCAAGGTTCAGCACCAGAATCTGTAGCAATTTGCTCAGCAGATGCCTCCTCCGATCTCTTTACTTCGGCACGCTGGAAAGCTGGAGGATTAGACCCTCCCTCAAGTCCACCTGAAATTTGCATAAACTACACCAACCCATTAAAGCTTTAACATACGTTGTACGTCCTATGGAAGCAAAAAAGTGAATTGGACTCACATCATCGTAACAAATTCTACAAAGTCCATATGCAAATGGTTTTCCACTACCCTTATGCTCACAAAGGACATCATCTGCATTACCCACTTTTAATGCCAAAATTGGTTCTTTGCTGAATTCTTCCAGCTCCCTGGCCTTTTCAAGGAACTCCTCAATCTGGAAAAAAATAAATAAATAAACTAGCTTCAAGGTGGGGAGTATAAGAGTTCAGTACTTACATATCCCAAACAAATGCATGGGGAAAAAAAAAAAAAAAAAAAAAAACAGATACTGAATATCTTTTAGGTCTAAATTTTTTTGCAGCTTATTTAAATGTCAAATACAGAGAAATAGATAAATGCTAAAAGCAATTGCAACTAAAGCCCAAAGGACAACCAAAATAATATAATCACTGAACCCTAATAAAAAAATGTCCATTAATTTACTTTTAAAAAACTATTATTATCATTAAGGGGAGGGGGCAGGAGTCGAAACTGTTACAATAATTTAGGGGAGGGGGAAGTTTTGAACCCTGGACGCATGGGCAGAAACCATGTTCCGGATCAATCCCTATGCAGTAGTCTCCATCACGCAGGGCTGTAAGGCTTTTAATATAATAGGAGCACGCTAGGCCCTAACCTTGGTTGGTTGGAAAAGGCCATTATATGCCCAACACCATCTCCACTAAGATACTGAACCACATGCACTTATTTAAAAATTTATACAAAAGCCAGGAATTGTACACGCATGTGACTACAATAACATAGAAATGTATTGGCATGTCAAATTGATGTTACCATTCAATTGTTTCTAAGTCAAGAGAAATGTGGAGATGGAGTGATGGGCAATGTACAGGCAAGTAAAGAATGATGGAGGAAATTTAAATGGAAATGATGAAAAAAATTTAAAACTGCAAGTTAACCTATTGTTGTCCTCATATATGTAAGCTATATGGCTGAAATGGAGATGTTAGAAATTACAATAATTGTCCTACTGCAAGTAACATACCGTCAAGCTTCCAGATTCAGTATTCTCAAACTCAACCAGCCGCTTGGTCAATGTTGCATCACAAACATGCACAATCCTAGTCTGATAAAATATACAATATACATCATATAAAATGTAAGGGCTGGATGAACATCAAATGTTGAATTCTTACATAATCATTTTTAAGAAAAAATTTGATGGGACAAAAGAGTTTTCATATTTAGAGCACAGGACTGAACTGAATCTGATTGAGAAACAAGACATTCATAACTTGACACAATATAAACAAAACAATGTGTACTCTTTCATTGCTGAAATTTTTTTGTATTAGAAATCTGGATAAAATAAAAAATCTAACTGGTGTGCCCATATAATAGATTATCCATAACGAAAAAACCAACTCATTCGAAATATTCTTATCACTGTAGAGTAGCAACTGAGTGTGACTTACAATGTCAGACTTGGAATAATTGAGACCATGTGAATGTCCAGATATATATAGCGCAGCACCACATAGCCCACTGGGTTTTCTGCCTGTCTGTAAAAGAATTGAAGATCTTTCATATGACAATGATATGACAATGATATCAACCTCCTTGAAGATTAACACTAAATCTGACACCCAAAATGCATCAATATTATGCTGAAAAGGGTTAGCAAACCTGCATCCAATCCCGTTTCATGCTAGTGATAATCCGCAGTGCAGTTTGCATGACCCTTTTATTCGTTCCTCCTGGTAAACCTACAAGTCATATTTGTAACTGTTATGTATCCCTGTTTAATATGTATCAGATAAATATTGGGTATACCGGCAAACCTAAATACATGTACCAGAAGGAACAAGGTACAAAGGACTTATACCCAAAACAAAAGACATAAATAAAAAATAGTGTGACATAAGACATTAACAAATTGAAGATGCTTGGAAAAAGTAAAATTGTAAATAGAAATCCAAATTATCTAAAAGCCCTGACTAGCTAATTCTAGCTGCAAACTAAGTGTTTAGGCCTAATAAATTGCTCAAAAGGTTAACAAAGCACAAAACAGAGATGTTAAATATGGAGGATGTACAACTAAAGCAGTAATAACTATGAATTGATGTCCGCGTCCCCATGTCCCATTGCATTTTAGTCCCATCAAACCAGAAAAGCAAAGGAGAAGACACTTTGTTGGATTTGATACTTATGTAGTATCAACTGAATACATATTCTTCCATATAACCACTCAGCCGAAAAAGTTTCAACACTGCTTAAAAGTAATGACCTTTTGTTGGAAAGGAGTGATGCAATTACTTTGTGAACAAATTGCATTTAAATCCAAATCCTAGAGTAAGAAAACTATTTGTTATTGCAGAGTTCTCACACTTACTCTCTGTAAATTTATGAATAAACCAAGAAGGATCAACAGGTTTTTGGACAATTGGGTGCTCATTGAGCCTAAGAGTTTTGCAAAGTTGCAAAAACACAGCACCTAGCACGTAACTGCGAATCACATTATAGGAAAGCAATATTAAACCCAAGGGCAAATGTTGAAGGTTAAATCCAAAATCAGAATGTCATTACTGAAAGCAAGGGAGAAAAAAGTCAGAAGTGAAGAAAAAAAGGAAAGGCTCTCTCACACATTTATCTTCAAGTAGTTCGAAAAATCAATAAGTAGATACGGCCTCCTCTTTTCCCTGTGAGACAAGATTCAAGTTCAATATTAGCACATATCATCATGGGGTAAAATTGAATATGAATAAGAAGATAAACATGGCCGGAAATAATTAATTAAACAGCTTAACTGTTTTTTTTTTTTTTTCCTGGCTGCTTGGGGTGATCTGCTTGCCACCCCTCATCTATTTTCTATCTCTTTCTTCACTGTTTCTTTATAGAATAAAAAAAATAAATAAATAAAACAGCAAACAAGTTTTCTTACCGGCATGCAATGTAAAGACATGAAGCCAGTACTTGCTCTGATTTACGCCCCCTGGTGAAATTTTTCTCTACTGCAATCTTCAAAAGGAGAAGAAGATCACAGGTTTAGTCTTTTAGATTTCCACAATTTCTGTAACTAGAAACAATGAAGCTCAAATACATGAAGACGTACTCTATAAAAGCGCTTAGCTATGTCAACAATTTCTTCATTGTCTCCCATATCCAAAGCATTTCTCATACATCTTAATTCATATTCGGCTGCAAATCCATAAACAATCAATGAGACTATAGATAAGACAAATCACATTATCTTCATTAACTCTTGAGCATGATAAAATTGACATGTTAAAGTTTATTAAATTTTCAAAAAGAAAGTAGTGGTTAATCATCCTAGTCTGTGCAAGTTGAGTAACTGCTAACATCAAGACATGAATAAATTGTAACAACAGAATGTGCTGAGTTTAAAGAAAAACACAAAGCGGTAATACAGACTCTGGCTCTAGTCTTTACTCTGGCTGCTGGCATATGACCTGCCTTGATTAATGGTAAGTGATTTCACCCAAAACTCATTCATTGGACTCAAAGAGACTCAAGTACTAAGTATATTACATGTCTGTACACAAATGCAAGTGGTTATGCCCCTTCTATACGTTTATTGGGGTGTTGAGTCTGTAAATGACTGAATAAAGCACACTCCAATTGATAGTGCAACCTAAAGGCTTTCTTCTAGTTGATTGACCAGAAATGCTGACACGTGATCACTGCAACATTTCGATTTTCCAGTTCCATGTCTACTGGAAGTCCCCGACCAGATTTTCTTATCATGTTCATTAATTTGTAAGTGCACTAACTTAAAATAAAACCTCAAGAGAAAATTCTACTCCTGCCATCCCACTCCCCAGAGGTTAGCACTTCTTAGAACCCAAACCAAAGAAATAAAATAAATTCATTTTAAAAACAAAGTACTTGAAAATGGAACTCTTCCATTAATAGAAGTAATTATATTTCTGAGGAAGCATATGCCAATATTACACGGGGTCATGAAAGCTTAAAAAAAAAGAAGCAATAAAAAAGCCAAACCTTGAAAAACAAAAGCTCAATGAGCCATACCGTTCTCGAAGATCCTTTCGCGAGAAGCTGAGATATCACTTTGAATGGTCCGTACAAATCTTCCAGCCACTTGGCTCTGCAAACGCATAAGCAGAAAAGCTTTAAACAGAACATAAAATCAATACTTCTCCATAAAATCAACAAAAAAATCACATCTTAGTGATGTTATGTAGAAATACATTCCATGTGCTTCCTCATAAACTGATTTTATGGAGAAGCACATCGCAGAAGCGATTCTGGCCGTCCCACAATCACTCCGAAATGAGCCTTAGTATGCATTTGTTACCAAGTATTATATATATATATAGATATTTATTTATTATTTTTTGTTTAAAAAGGAAATTGGGAAATACCTGGCCAGCTGCATTTTTAACGAATGTGGTTTCCTCACTGTATTGTTCGTACTCCAAAACCTTTCCACATCCGGGACACGAACTACAAACAATTGGGAAGCAACATCACAATCCAATTCATAACACTTTATGTAAAAAATAAAAAAAAAATACTAAAAATATAAAATAAAATTATACATACAAAAATTGGGATACTCACATTCTACCACCATCGCTAATTCCAGAAACTGGCTTTCTACAGTGAGAGCAAAAAACCATTCTTTGAAATTAAGAGCCAACTCCGCCACCGATTTTCCCCAATTAGGAGGAAGAGCAACCGCCCTGTTTGTTTCCCGAGAAAATCAGACAGAAAAAAAAAATAGAGCTGTACCTTAAATTCTCAGTAAACTCAAACGGGACAATGAAATACCTTTCGGTATTGGGGGCTTTGGCAGCAAAACAAAACCGCCAAGAGTGAGTGGGGGTCTGAAGAGAGGACAAGTGGAGAAACGTGGGAAGATGAGAGAGAGCACGTTTGGCAAAAATTTAGGGTCTCGTTTGGTACGCCGTATAAAACACCGGAGTCAGCGAACCTGGAATGCTGGCGATGCGGGGGCGCGTCCACGTGGACAGGTGGGGGAGAGTGAGCGAAGCTTGTAACGAGGAACGATGGATTTGGGCTGAGCAGAGACGGCGCCGGCGCGGAGGAGAGAAAGGAGAGGTTTTGGGGTTTTGGGAATCGAAAAGATACAGAGGAAGAGAGGGAAGAAAGGCAATGGTGGCGGTTGTTTCAACAGTGCATCGGTGGTTTTGGGGTTTTCAATTGTTATCCATGATTTGGGAATATTGTATCAATGGTCCTCAATTTTAACTTAATTAAAGAAAAGATCTCTCAATTAAAAATTCATGATTATTAGCCTCTCAATTCATCAAAACGAAAATTATAATTTTTTTCATCAATTTGTCATAATTTCGTTAAAATGAGTCATGTAAAAAGAAACATTAGCTACAATTAGGTAAATTGAGAGACCATTACTCAATTGCATTAAAGGTGGGGGATTATTTCTCCAATTGGTTTGGAGTTGACTGCTACAATTTTTTTTATTTGGTTTTTCATATTCGCTCATTGATTCAATATGCGTGGCACGTGACTCATTTTAACAGAAATTTTAACTAAATTAATGAACATGATCATAAATACACGTTTTGATGAGTTAAGGATCATTAGTCATAAATTTTTAGTTAAATAACTATTACTCTAATTAGGTTAAAATTAAATGACCATTTCTACAATTTCCTCCATGATTTTCAATAGTTAATATATATACCCGGTCCACCCTAATTTCAACCAAAATTAATTTGATTAAATTCCACTTATCACTGTTCTTGCCGAATGAATTTTGAAGCTAACGTCACTGTGGTCCTTGTTTGAGGACCAAGAGAAACAACCACAAAACGGGGACCAAATTTTCAATTCACTCTTTTCATTGGGGCAAAATTTGAATTTTCGAAATAAAGCGAGGGCATAGTGGCCAAAAATAAATGAATTCCTAGCTAGCTGGTAAGAAAGTTTAAGTCTTGAACTTTTTAGGGTTTAGCAGAAAGTGTCAACAAGCAGCTGCAAAAATGGGGAGCGGGAAAGCAAAGAAGCCATCGAAGCTGTCTCACAGAAACCCTAAGAACAAGGGCAGGCCGCTCGGCCCTAAGACGAAGAAGACGAAGGCCCAATCCCACACCAAGGACAAGAAGAAGAAGGAGAAGAAGCAACGGCTCAGCAGTGGCGGCGGCAATGGAAACCCAATTGACGAGAAAGCGAGCAATCAAAGCAGCCAAAACGACAGCGGTTTAAGCGACGGTGCTGAGGTACAACCGGCATCGGCTTCCGCGCAGCTCAGCTTCTTCCTGGACAAGTTTCAGTCCGCCAATGGCGTTCAGCTTTCCTCTCTCGAGTTGGAGTCCTTCAATGGTACCTTTTATTTTGTTAATTTGTCTGTTCATGTTTTTTCTTGCATATTATTGATTATGCGGTCTGTTTGGTTGGTGAGAAAATGTTGAGGAATTTGAGAAAATTGCATATTAATTTCAATTTCTAATTAAATATATTTTTTAGATGAAAAATTCGTAAATACTGTCACATTTTTTCTGGGAAATTTTCCGGCTAAAAATTGCAAGCAGATGAGAGGATATAGTTTTGTGCGTAAGGAGAGGTATCCAAATTCAACGTATTAGTGCCATTGGCTGAAGATAGCTTTCGAAATTCAGTCAAACTAGTTCAGTATTGACGTTCAATTTATATTCAGTATTATTTTTTATATGCGGCAATTGTGAAAATGCCTCCGCCTGAGGAACGTGCTTGAATTGTCTTTGTTTAATTTTGCAGATAAGTGTATTCTGGATCTGTCTGAAAGCTTGGATCAAGATGTCAGCAGCTTGTTGAAACATGTGAAGGAAGCTTTTGGTCCATCATGGAAACAAGAACTTTGTGGAAAGGATCTTGTGGATGGGAAAATTGATCCGGGGAGTCCAGCAGTTCTTATTATTAGTACTTCTGCGTTGAGAGCGATAGAACTTCTTAGGTGAATAACGATATTTTCCTTCCTTACAGTACCATAACTTGAACCATTTGCAAATTTGATTTTGCCAAACCCCTTATGTTGATTTTCATGTAAAATGTCTCAGTAGCACCAGAGACTTTAACCCCTTTTGTTATGTGCATATCACTGAAAATTTATTCTGTTCCTATAGGGGCTTCCGGTTGTTGACTAATGAATGTCGTGCAGCAAAGCTGTTCTCTAAGCATATGAAGGTTGAAGAACAGGTAGTTACTCAGAATTTTAAAATTCTCTAGTTAATGGCGCATTTATTACCACGTATTACTCCGCTAAGTTGCACCATGCTCTACTATTTGCTAGGATTATTAGCATCTGTCTGGTTATAGTTCAGCATGTTGAGCTTACCCATGTGCAATAGTTTATACACTACCATGAATTGTTAATAGGCATGGAGTCAGGGAAATCTATTGGCTTTCCTTTCAATTTTAAATGCTTGTGTTGGATGGTCTACAAATTTTTGAAACAAACATATCATGACTAGGATTGAAACCAGTTGTATCCACTTCATGGTCACTCCAAACTATCACCAGGTTCATTGTGAATCTTTTTGGGCATAAACTTGTAAATAAATGTTGCATTACCATTTTATTTTTTCTAACATTTTTTACTGTTATTTTAGTACTGTAACTAGTCCTATTTCATCTCTCTGCTTAACCTATCAGCTGTGTTTTTGCATATGTATGTGTACGTTCTCTTTCAACCCCTTCATGCTTTATGCAGGTATCCTTGTTAAAAAACCGCGTCAATATCGCTAGTGGTACACCAAACAGGTATTTATCATAATTTCCTGTACATGCAGTAATCTTTCATTGCTTACCACAGCCCAAAATTTGCAGCTTTTACTTAATGGTACATTTAATCACGGTATCATCTCAAATGAACATGGTGCGATGTTAATGTGTTCTTTACTTTGAAGTAACATGACTGGTTCTTTATTTATTTGGTGTTCATTGTGTATTGTGGGCTATGCAAAATATATTTTTCTATATAAAAACAATTTCACCCAATAAAGCTCATTTTAACTAGAAACTACAGCTTTGATAGTATTTGCTATGAAACAGTAAAGATAAAGAAAGTACCAAGCCGCCAATGGGGATATGATAGAGCTTGAAAACTAAGAGCTAGGAGTAATTATTCTTTAAGGTTTCAGTTATAAGTCGCATCATTATATTTAGTTTGTATGTGAATGAGTATTGATTAGAAATTACACCATGCTCACCCTGGAGTCAGGTTTGCCTTGGGCTTTCATTTCCTCTTCTTTTGTTCCTGTAACTTATTCTCATATTTGTTTTCAACTCAACAGTCTTGTTTCTCCCTTGATCTATATGCATTATAACTGATTTTCCGATTATAATTAGACTTGATATTTGTATAATAAGATCAATACTATCATAATTTGATCCCTTAGATCCCCAGAAACCAATTTGTAATTTTGTATTCTGCCGGGTAAGTTGGTAGCTGAAGTCAAGCGAAAGAGAAGTTCAGGATTTTGTTGACATCCTGCATCTTGTATTTGCTGGATGGGGTAAACATTGCGAAGAGAAATCTAAGATTGGTATTGTTCCTAAGGGAACGACTGAGACTCATCCTTAGCACTGGATTTCTGTACTGCGTTTTTAGCAATTTGCAAGTTTGTTGGATTCTAGCAGCGTATCTAGCGTCATTCCTTTATCTTTCCTGTTTTCAAGTTCAGTTGTGTAAATTGAATAATTTGGTTCTTACTTCGACTCATCGATTTCAGGATAAAGAAGCTAATTGACATTGAGGCATTGGGGCTTTCACGACTGTCGGTGATTGTACTTGACATGCACCCAGATGTTAAGGGCTATTCCCTGATTACGCTTCCACAAGTCAGGTTAGGCTATGAGTCATCTCTCTACATTACATTTGCTTTCTCTAGGATTTTTCTGTTCCTTTTTTATCAATTTCCCCCTTCCTAAATAATGAACAAAACAAAGCCCTACCTTCGGATCTCAAATGACAGGGTGGAGTTTCAAACCTTCCTTAAGGTTTATACATTATTTCTCGGGAGATTCTTTTGCAAACATATATTATGCCCAAATCCATAATTTGATACCAAACTAATGGTTGTCTTCGAAGAATCTTAACCCTCACCCTTTTCTCCAAGTTCGCTGGCCAGAGTGTGCAGAGATGGTTCAAAAATCACAGAGAAGAAGCTTGATATATGCTTTTTCGTTTATTCTCGTCTTTGTGCTGTGTTTTGGATCGAAAATCTTTCAACTTTATGCACTCCACATGCCTCACATTCAATTTATTTGGCAGAGATGAATTCTGGGACTTGTACAAGAACTACTTTCACGATCGACTACAACAAGGTTCCTTGCATCTCGGTCTCTATGGTCCGTTAACATCTGGGAAAGAGCTTAAGGGGAAAAAGAGGGGACCGAATGAATAACAAATTTTAGTCCATTTTTTGTGCAAATTTTGAGCTATGTCATGTGTCCTCTCTTAACTTTTATTCATTTGAATCTTGATAATATGAAGTTGTTTTATGTCCACGAGGGAACATCTATTGTACACAAAGGAGCAATATTTCCACTGCGCTAACGAATCGTACAAAATTAACTAATAACAAAACCATTCGTATGCTCGAGCATCCTAAAAGTAACACAAAAGAATATATGTCAAGACATGGTCAATGGCTGATACGAGAAAACAAAAACATGTATGAACCCGTATTATCGTGTAGGTATGAACAACAAAAGTCTTATCTTACTAAGTAAACATTAGCCCACTAAGTAAGGTTGATCAAAGACAAACAACGTGCTGATCAAGGGCAGAACGAATCAAGGGAATATGTCATCTGTTTTTCCTTTTTCTTTTTCGGAACAATATCCATCTACATTAAGAGGGTAGGGAGTAAACTAAGCCTTACAATGAGTTTATAATAACGTGATTCAAATTCCTTTTTGGTAAAAACCAAACCTAAAACCTTTCACTTACAAGTGAAAAGAAATACCTTTAAATCGTAGTATTAAGTAGCGAATACGTCCTCTGTTGACTTAGGTAAATACAAGTTTGCCAATAGTAATGACAGAAATCAATGCCTATACCTTTGTGCAGCTGCAGGACCAATTACTATGTCTTTACTTTTGGTGGTTTTGAGGGATTTGCGATAACTGGATCACCATTTTCACCAATATATTCTCAGTTTAACATATCCACAAAATTATTGATATGTCCGACAAAATATCCGTAAAATCAAGCATCAATATGAAAAGGGGTGAAATGCAAATTTCATCCTACCCTATATCAATGAATATCTACGGTATTTACCAATTTACTACAGAAATTTACTACCATATACTAAAATAAGTCGTAAAGTTTTCTTCTTTAGCTAAACTGAAGCATAACCCATAAGGATGCAAATTAGGTTTAGGCGTAAGTTGCAATGCAAAATTGTTTGTTTACTTCTTGAATTGTTCTACGTGATACAAAAAACAGAAGGGCTAAAGAAAACCCCTTCCCTAGAGTTTCGAGAAAACACATGAAACAGTAATATGAACGAATAGCGATGTATGGAATCCGAACAACTTCATGCATATAAAGAATCCCACAAAGGTGTTAAATATATCAGAGACATCAAATTGCAAAATACAGGTCTTTTCATCCAGCATTCAGGAAAGAGCAGAAAGGCAACGATGACAAGTCCAAGCTCCAATAATGTTATCACCTGGTGACTCTATATTTCTACAAAACGACAGAAAGACTCGGTTCAGTTCTCTTACCTTAGAGCTACTTCGAATTAATAACTCTGACTATGCAATTACGAAAAGCGTTTTGTATCAAAAGAAAAAGAAAAATACCTTAACAGTTTGCAATAGTTGTTTGGCAGCTTTGTTATTCTTGAAGTGTGCTCGTACAGGCTGCATACCGACAATAAGAAAGTTTAACCCAGCAGCGGCAAAGAGTAGCCAGGCATTTATCTTTCTCCCTTCTTTTTTAATTTTCGTTTTTTTACCAGATAGGCATAAGTTACAAAAGAAATACACTTGCAGTTTGAGATTAAAGCAGAAAGAGAGATCCCGATCAGCTCTAGGATAGTCAACTATTTAATGTAAAAGCAGACATTCTTGAACCTATGAAAGATGGTACATTTTTTTATTTAAACTAGAGAGCAAGATCAGTTAGGCCCATCAAATATAGATTTCTTTCCCGGATCCTAACTGTGTAATGCAACATTATGGGATGAAATCGTCACCACTCTCATGGTTAGTCAAATTGGCATCAGGCCGTCAATTCGGGAGAGGTAAAAATCAAAGAAACATACGTATAAAAAGTGAACCTACCTCCAGTATCTTGTTCAATGCTTTTGATAAAGCTGATTTAAGGTCGGCTGGATGTAGCTCGCCGCTTTCATAATCAGCAGCCAATTCTTCAAAGGTTTTGAAGGTTCTGTATTGGAAGGAAAAGGAAGGGGACCAAAAAGTACAATTAGCCAAGACAACAAGATCAATTTTTTTTAAATGGCATTCTCGGTAGGATATAAAGCTGAATTAGCAAAAGCCTTTAATTAACATATTAAACCAATACAGATTTGATCTAAAGTCTATCACTTACTTATTTCCACCATTGTCTTCAGTCCGCTCAACAGAAAACTCATTGAACCAAGGTAGTATGAGATACTTCACATATTCCATACAGGGATTCTCATCGACAACATTTGGAGGACAGTAAGCTTTCTTTATCTTCAAATTCACTTCAGCCTAAGAGAGTGATATATGTCAAAATTTTAAACATATATATAGTGGATTACGATGGAAGATAAAAGCCCTAGCTTACAACTTGAATACATTTGTCTTCCAATCCACATGCAGCTTATACAGATAATTTAACCTTGACCCTCACAGAAATTGAAAATTTACTTCACCTCTAGTAGCCTAGTAGCAACCCACCTCTTCATCTTCCATGAATATGGAGGACGTCACATCACTTTTAGACATTTTCTCCTGCCCTTGCTGCAAACCGGATAACATGTCTGCAAATCATCATTTAGAAAAACAAACAAAAACCATGTCACCACTCCCATGTTAAAGGATAAAACATCAGAATTGCAACAGGTGGAATAGGATTTAGAATGTTACGGTGTGACAAGATAATAGGCTTGTTCTTCTTTTTGATGTCATCGCAATACTCTCTTGCAAGCATATTGACTTTACGTTGATCCATTCCCAACTGGCAGATGTCCGCCTGTCAAAAGGAAAAATATTTTACAAGTCACTCTTATTTCAACATGGATATATTCTCCCTCTTCTTTTCCATATATCCAAAATCTAGCGGTTTTTCTTTTACATGCATCCTGATCAGAAGACGCATCGTCTAAACAAGATCTAGGTAAATAGTGAGTCTCAGGACTTCCCTTTATGGGGCTCCAGTAAAATGGGCCTTTATGAGCCTCGTACTATTTCTAGTTTTCACTATTACGCTTTTCATATCCATGTAATTCTATACAATACGTTCAATAACTGAAGTAGCACAAAACAAATGTAATGTCCCAAGTGGACCTATCATATACTCCATACACAAAAGTTAGCACCATTCCTTTAATAATCCATGTCATATTCAGTTTCAACACAATGCTACATGGGAAACAAAACCTACTAACAAAAATTCAAAAGTAAAATAGCCAGCTACCTGAAGAAAGAATATATCTGCACACTGCATACAAGGGTAGAGAATTTGGGCTGCAGTTAACTCATCTTGCTCAGTCCGACCCATAATCTGACTACACCTGGAAATATAGAAGAATAAAAGCATATAAGTACAAGGTCCACAGAGTTAGGTACAATAAGCATCACAATACGGTAGCTACCTAATTATTCTCGGAAGTTTATTTTTCCGAGCTATATCCATCACACGAGGCCAGTACTCGTGTGCTCTCGCATTAATCTCCTTTGACGACCACAAAAACTCAACTTTTCCAGTGTCCAAATTCATCCCCGCAGCCCTCCATATCTCGATCATGTAGTTGCCAACCGTCTCTATCTTTTTCAAATCACCCCCCATCTTATTGTTCAACTGCGCAAACCAATCTCCAATCCACATCTTCACTCGGCAGCCAGCAGATGTCAGCTTGTTAACATTGATAGTCTTCATAACTCCCTACACAACAACCCATTCAAACCTCATGAAACAATCAATGCTCAAACAAATATCCGCCGTTAAATTTATTACTACAATCTTTCTTTCGAAGCACAAAGAAATTCTTCTAGAACCCGAATAAACGTACACGAAGAACACACTACAAAGTTCAGATTTAGAACCTTTTCAAATTCACAAATACACAATTCATATCAATTACGTTTCATAATTACACATCTAATGATTCCTAGAAAAACCGATGTAAAACCTGAGCAATGTGCATTCGACCCGAGGGTTCGAACCCATCGTAGCAGATGGGTTCAGTCTTGTGAGCCAGCAGATTCAGAAGCTCATCCTCCTGAATACACTCCTCCCCCACGCTCCTCACGATCTGGTACTTCTCCTCCAAGCTCAATCTTCAGAAAAATCACAGCCACACAAACACACAATTTCGAAAACAATTCAGATCAACAAGCGAATTTAGAAACGGAAAGGAAAAAAATACACTGATCGAAGCTTACGAAGCGGTTGGATTTGATGAACTGGAGGGTTGGTCATCGACCTGAGGCTCGGATATGGAAAGCGACTCGACTTGGTCGGCCGGCGGGGATTGCTCTGTTGTTTCGGTCGCCATTGGAGAGCTACGAGAGAAAGCAGAGAGTGCGAGGTAGTTTATCTTGGCGGCTTAGTTTTAGGGTTTATCTATTTTGTTCTTGATTCTTTTACGCGACCTTTTTCAATGGACCCCACCACTATGGAGAGCTAGGATTAAAGATACAAATCCAACGGCTGTGAAAGTTTTGAAAATTGTAAAAACATAAAAACTAGCCAACAGGGTCATCTCCTCATCATTTTGGTAAGAATTCTAAAAATCCGTAAATCGTATCCGTTCATCGTATATCGTGCATTCAGTTTTTGTCAAGTACTTTTGTGTTTAATTTAAAATAAAAATATTTAAAATAATTTTTTATCGTACGATATACAATGAACAGAAATGATTTACAGATTTCTAAAATTCTTACAAAAAAAATCCGACGAGAATAACATCTTGCTAAAAAAAGTGGGATCCACTTTGTTCGCCTTGTCCATTCAAAAGGAAAGTGCAACTTGACATTTTCAATGTACCTGAAACCCATTGCAACAAGACATCTTGCTAATAAGAATGAGATACCACCGTTGATATTGTAAAGATGGCTGGCAACCAAGAGCTAGCTGTCCACTCAACAAAGGAAGTGGAAATTTAGGCTGGCCACTAAGAACATGTTCTTCCACCATGAGCTATCGGCTGCATACTTTTGATTCTCTTGTTTTCCTATAAATGTAAGACTTATGGAACACAGAAGAGAGAGAATTACACGGCAAAGAGAGGAAGGAATGAAGAGGAAGAGAGAGAAGAAAGGAAGGAGAGAGAGGAGAGAATAAAGAGAAAGTTATCTTTGTAATCTTATTATTTTAGATTATAAATGAAAGCATCATTACTGTTCCAAGGATGTACTCCAATCATACTGACTATAGAGGAACCTCGTAAATTTTATGTCTTATTTATTTATTTCACTGCGCACACTATCGATTTTACAACAGTTGAAAATTTTTACATCAATCTAGATGCATGCATTGATTCTCATGGTAACGTAGAGAGGAAAGACGACACGACACCCATTGCCTCGGGGATATCACCGACTCCGCCTACTTCTCTTAAGAATTCTTAGATTTGAATCTTGTGAATGACGAGTTCCATACCAAATATCTTTCTCATCTCTGAGTGTAAATACATCATTACACTAAAAAGGATGATACTAATAACAAAGAAGATAACCATCCTTCAGCCTGAGGGGCACAAATTTTATGTGAATAAATAAATTTCAAATAACTGGAGCAACCAAATGAAATTTACGAATTCAATTTCAAAAGTGAACAAAGAACAAAAATATACAGTTTGAGATGCAAGTTCCCGGTTGAAGAAACTATACATCTTTCAGAAACCTGAGCCACTGGAAGTTGTAATTGCTTGAGTGCTTGCATATGATGTTGCCAAATGATGAATTTGAGAAATCTGCATCATATGATTCGTACGTTACGTGGCACCGGAATTCGTAACCCAGCAATCCTGCAGGAGCAAGGTGGAACCGTTGTATTGGCACTCATAGCAGTCCAATGATGGTCGGAGGAGGAACCTTTTGTTGCTTAGTGTAGTCGTCGTTGTGAAAACCAATGAGAAACGAGAGCAGTATGCCCAATCTTCTGACATATATGGCATGGTTCGATGCAACAGAAGGTGATTGAACAGTGATTTGCACGTCTGATAACAATCTGAAGCGTAGTTCACTTTTTCTGAAGCAAACGTGGCAAGTCGAGTTCCATTGTAATCAGAAACAGGAAACTGTGCTTTACGGACAGATTGCAGAGAAGATGCAGGCTTCAATTTAGGAAATCTTCTGGTAGTGTTGAAATAAAATCTTCCTCTGACATGACCTCTATAAATTGAACCCTCATGACGTGCAGTAGAATAATTTGACTTCCGAAAACTGGGACCAGACACTCCATGAAAGAATGAAGCTTTAGGCAAAATAGATTGATTCTTAGCTACCGTAGCAGAGAGGACGGGGATTTCACTCTGATCAAGAGCTGCCTCCTTAGCAAGCAACTACGACCTGAGAGACAAAGATCAAGATTCAAGAATGAACAAGAGAATTTGGAAGAATTTGATCTGAGAATAAAATAGCACTGTTCGTTATAATCATCTACGTCAATTTTTTGCACAGCACTCTCCAAATGATTAGAAATAGAGCAGAGGGCAAGTCCAGTTAAGAAAGCAAATACCTCAATTGCAAAACACAGCGGTGGAGTATAATCAGAAGATCAGAAGCAAGACTGCAAAATATAAACTGATTGATATTATTACCATTTCAGTAAAGGAAGGAGAAACATTAACTGAAAGATCCCCAATGAAGACGAAGAATGATAGGCAACAATGAGTCGTATCAGAAAACATTATCTACAAATTTCTGTAAGTTGAAAATAATTATACTTACCATTATTTGCAAAATTCTGGCAGTGATCATGAGACTGATCCCACATATGGTGTCCAGAAGCGATGAATCCCCTCGACCCAATCCTCTTCACAAATGAATCCTAGGTTCATGTTGCTCATCCGAGTCATACTCATAAAACAAATTGTTATCTGACTCTTCTTCAGAACTGAATTGGTTATTACCAATACCATCAACATGTGGATCCACGTCGATACCATCACCTTTATTTTTCTTGTATAAACCTTTGCTCCTATCTAGGAACCCTTTTCTTAACAGCTTTGCAAAGTTTTCCCTCAATTCGACCGTAGGGTGTTTTTGCAATAGTTTTTGACGGTCATAGGCTTCCCTTAGAACGACAGTTTGAGTGGCACATTTATTTGAAATGTAGAAAATACCTGGATGGCGCTCAAACACTTTAGTGAACTTTTGAGGTAGGGCCAAGGTTTGCGAAGGTTGCTCACATTCTTACGCTCAGTTTTCTTGTTTATAGTTAGATGAAGAAGCTCGTGAAAGACCCCTACAATCCTCTTCTCGGATACATCTGTACGAGGATCTAAATGGGAGGCATCAGAGTACGGAGAGGTATAAGGGAGGGTCTGCCACTCTTTCAACCACTCCATGCATTTTCTCTTCAATCCAAAACCCCTTGTAAATCCAACTGGAAAAGCTAAACAGCCACTTCTTACATCTTCTTCCTTCTGTTGTCGGCCGGAGTTCCTTTGCAATTGGGAGACAGCAAGGTCCTTTTCCCAGGATAAGAGCTTCAAGCCAACACGATCATCAGGGAGGTGTACAAAAGAGAAAAGGTCACGGTGATGCGGGATCACAGTATGAATGTAATCATATGGCAAACCGAGGTCCCATTTCAGTTGGTCAAGGGTTTGTAAAGGAAGGGTCCAACCCCGGGTGAGCATGAGCAGTTTTCGAAGCCTATTAATGAAATCCAATTGATTCTGCTTAAGGACATTGAGTTCCTCTTGGTGTAGCTGTAGGGCTTCAGGAGTCAAGCTAAAGCACGGGACTCGAGCGCCTCCGCCCCAAAAATCATAGGACTCAACAAAAACAGATGGGTACCTCCTAATAAAAGTAGCGAGCTTCAGATCGTGAGGAAGACCGAGTTGTCCTCGATGACAAGTGAGCCGGTATACAGGGATGCAGCACTGAGGTGAGGAAGAAATAATGGAAACGAGAATGCTGGCAGCCTTGAGATCCCTCTCAGAAGCCACAACAAAATCCAATGCCCTATCTTTCACCCATTTCAACCTCACATTCACAAGACCACGCAGTTTGCTGATAGTTAAATTCTTGCTGACATCCACGGAGGAAACCAAACCCGCCTACCTTAACAATTACAAGACACTGAGCCATGATCCTTTCTTGGTAAATATGGACGAGTACGAGCAGCGTTCTTGAGTTCTCTACACTTCCCGTTATGCTAGCCTAAACGGACACGACTTTGTGCTCAACCCAAGAAGCGCAACTGCAAAAGGAAGAATCAACACCGGAATAAACAAACGCAACGTTCCAGCAGATTGTCAAACAACGAACATGACATTACGCTAGAACACAACCTGAGCTAGGCATTTTATCGAACATGTTACGAGCGAAAAATCATAAGGATTCAACGTGAGATAAGAGTGCCGGCTGTCGACTACCTGACGCACTGCCCTCCTCCTTTATCCGGGCTTGGGACCGGCAATGTAAGATCGGAGTTATGTTACGAGCGAAAAATGATATAACAAAATAAAAAGTTACAGTTTTGTAATTGCAAACGAAAATCTACGGTTTAGCAGCAAGAACACAGGAATGATTAATAAATAAAACAAGAAAATTAACGATTGGAAAACGAAAATCAACCAGTTCTGATTACATTAAAGAATGAATAATTAAATTCGATATGTATGGGGAGTGAGTGAAGAATTGATAAGGCGATGGGACTGTCGTTTCCTTATATTTCTCCCTCTTATTCTATAAACCCAAAACGACGACGTCCGTGAAACCGAATGAAAATCGATGGCCTGAAATTCCACCTCCTCCGCACCACCGTCCCTTGAGAAAATCTCCAACTATCTGAACAGGTCCACTGGATTAGTGATGCTCGATGAGTCTGAGACGTTGGAGACGGCGAGGAGAGACAGGTAAATTCGATTCTGTTAAGGTTTCTACGAGGTGGCATAGCTATTAGCCGTTGGATCTGGTTGAACGGTCCAGATTAAAGAAGGGATATGAGGGCAGACAAAAAGGAGGCGATGAGCTGTTAAAAATTCACGAACTCGTTTGGATATGGTTTTAAAATGATTGAAAGTATTTTTACAGAAAATAATTTTAGGTTCTAAAAGTACTTAAAATGCTTTATGCAAAAAACATCAATTATGTGCTTATTCCAATAAGCACTTTAAGTGATTTTCCAGGATTACTTACAATTTTATTAAAAATTGGTTCTAAAAACATTTTCAGTCATTTTAAAAGCACATCCAAACGAGCTTCATAACAGTAAATACCACATTAACATTCTCTAATTCAAGTGTCTATTTCTATGTGACGTTGATATGGATGTAATCATTTATTATAATTAATGTTGAGTTAATCAGGTGCAATTATCCTACTTCTTTCTTGTTTTCAATCAAGGAAACTGAACGTGTGTCAATTTAATAATGAATTAAATGTATTAATTTAATCATTTATTTTATAATGTGAAAAAAAATAATAGCTTAATTTGACATATTGGTTGAAGAACAACAAAATTTAAAAAAATTTGGCCACCCACTAGAAGGACAATAAGGTCAAAGGACTATATTTTAGCCTTCAAGTGAAGTAAATTTTTTCTAATGTACAGTTAGTTTTAAATTTGAATAAGAGCCATTAGAAATTTTCTTCAACAATATCTAATCATTTTTGTTTAGATGTATAACTTAAATATGCACTAAAAACTAACATCTCCATAAGCATATGTGAATCATGAGCAATACTCACCCATCTTGCTTGGGCATAACAATTTCTTACACGACTCGTTAACTGGACACGAAGTGATACAAAAATAACCGGATTCGCGTTAACTTGTTAACGAGTTTGATCGGTATCGGGTCACATACTAAGAACCCAATAAAATATTGTTTGCCAAGTCTAGACATTAGACATGACAATTTATAACATAACTCGTTAACCTGATATGAAACGATATGACCCTGTTAACGAATCAGGTTGTTATTGAGTTGCCTGTTAAGATAAGAAGTTTAACACAACACTACCCGTTAAAATAACGGGCATGACACGAAAATGATACAAACATTACAAACAAGACCTATTTGTCAGGCCTAAATTATTGTAATAATTTCGAACCCTCCCCCTCTCCTTATTAATAGCAAAATTAACATCAATAAAAAAATAACCTGTAAGCACATCTATAATGTCAAGCTTTCACTCAAATATTTTTTTGTTTAAACAAATGATATTATCTACACTAGGAGGTGAGTTTAACTTTATAATGAGCTAACAATAATGTGATTCAAATTCGCCGAGAATTAGACCTAAGACCTCTTAGGCCATCTCCGACGAAGGTACCATGTTTAGCCCCCGTCTAGATTCTAGCCCTGCAATAATTTATTTTTTTAATGAACAGTGTTAGGTCATGTTTCTATATCATCTCCAACCTAAGGGGGCTATTTTTTAGCCCAATAATTTATTATTTTAAGTTTGTTCTTTAATTTTATTGGTTAATTGAATTAGACTACCATATTAAAATAAAGTTTCCAGACATAATTTGAGTATCATTTGTCACTAAATGAATAAGACTCCAGACATATTTTAAGTGCCATTTGAAGACGTGGTCATTTGAAAATTATTGAATAAATTAAAGGAAAAATTATTGGAAGAGGTAAGAGAATGATGTGTATGAAAAGAGCGTTTGAGTTGAATAGAATGTGAATAATTGAATAAAAGGAGGTAAGATAGTATGTAAGGGTAAAAAGGATGTGAGAAATGGTGTGGAAATATTTTAGGTATTTATAGAAAAAAAAATTAGAAATTTAAATTTTGTATTAAAAAACAAATCCAGCTAGGCCCAATTAAAAAGGCAGGTTGACCAAAGATGGCCAACCCACTGGCCATAAGGCTATATTTTGGCCCGATGAGTCTCAAGATATTTTTAAGCCAGACTTTTATTAGAGATGAATTTTGTGTCAAAAAAATTATCTTTTGAACTATGATCTTATGACCGGCCCAATTGGAGATGCCTCTTCCCCCCACACCATGATTGGTTTTGGTGGTTGATTTAGGGAATGTACTTTAATTTATTTAATGTAATGTAAAAAAAACAAACAAAGAAATTACGACAAAAAATGATATAAAATAAGAGGGAGACAGAAACATTTAAAGAAGGAAACAGAGTAGAAATGCCAATAATTGACAAAAAAAGAAGAGAAAAAAAGTGTTTTTAGTATTCTAAAAATTTCTTTTACAAGTATTTTCCTTCCCTAACATAGGAAGTTTATTGAAATAATAATAACAATTTCTTAAAAAAAAAAAAAACAAAAAAAAAAGAAGCAAAATTGTCAATGCAGTATGAAAGAGGACCTTCCCAATTGCTGAAAGGCGTAGGCATGCGTTTGTTGAAATTCACCAACTGGGTCTCTCTCTTCTTTTTGGGTTTTGCTTTCGTCTGCTACTTCTACACTTCTCAATTCTCTTCTCCTCGAATTATGGCTGAAGAAAGTTCCAAATCTATTTACGACTTCACTGTCAAGGTACTGGGTTTTCATTCTTTCCTGTTTCATTCTCGTATGTTATGTTTGGTTGCTGAGAAAATCTGGGGAGAAACTAATGGAAATTAAAGATTTGAGCTTTTTGTATAGTAAGTTTAATTGTTTGCAAAGTAACATAGCAGTGAATCCATTCAGTTGTACTGTGGAGCCGTAGTTCTGATATCTTGCTTTTGAGGTGGGTCTTCTCTGTTTTTGAATAGTTTCATCCTTCTATTTGCTTTTGATTTTCTGTGTGTTCACTTTAACTTTAGTATCAAAACAACGACAACAACAACCAAGCTTTATCCCACTAAATAGAGTCGGTTCTGAATCCTAGAACGCCACTGCGTTTGATTTTGCAGTATATCTTCCGATAGCTCCAAGTACTCCATATCTTTTCTTCTAACTTTAATATCAATTTTTTTCTCTTCATATTTCGATTTTTGAATTATGATTTTTTTTTTTTTTTGGATATTTTGAATTTTTTCCGATTTTTGTTGTTACAGATATGAAATTAAATATATTGAAGTTTTATGAGAGAAAAAGAACAAAACCATACGCCGTTCCGGCCAGATCAATTGCTTTGTTATGCTTCTTCTGGAGTTTTAGGAGACAGCTACAAATTTCTGTAGTTATATCTTATATTGCATTATGTTTGATGAAATGACTTTGGAATTTCAGATTCAATACTGATTTGAGTACATTCAAATTGTAGACTGTTCTATTTGACAACTTGATCTGAAATATATTTGTTTATGCATTGAATTCGGTTGCAGGATATTCATGGTAACGACGTAAATCTGAGTGAATACAGTGGGAAGGTTCTTCTGATTGTGAATGTTGCTTCAAAATGGTAACTAACTTGATCTCTTTTGTGAATGATTTCTTGACATTTTTGTATCCCTATTCCGTGTTAATCATGACACCCTGGGCATTTGTGTGCTTCTTTGCATATTCGAAAATTCATGATACAAATCTTGTGGTAATAAATCTCTATTGGCCTTTTCTGTGGAGCGTCGTTTCTAAACATAATTTATGGGGAATTAAGGAGGGCTTTAAAGAATTTTTCTTTGTAGTTTAAATATCTGCTGGTGCTCTTAAGAGAGAGATTTAACATTTGGAAATAGACGTTTGAGATAATATGTCGCTTTATCAAGAACATTTTTGTAGTTGTATACTATAATTAGTTAATTAGGTATGATCCTCTCATTAAGAATATGAATTTTTTTTTTTTTTTTAAATGTAATCATTTATCTTTTTCTTTTTGAAATTTTAAGTCTTTATTAAGTATGATTTCTCCTAGTTTATATACAGGTTCAGCTTTCATGTTATGCATATATGTTCCTTAAAGGTACGACTCCTTATGAACAAATACATGGTTATTACCTTCAAATTGAATTTTACGGAGATTATATATGAAAAGAAGTGCGGACTACACATACATTAGCCTGATGTGGAAAGTTAAATTAGATTGTTTCTCTTACATTCAGATGATCTGTAAAATGGTCTAAATTGTTTGTATTTAGGATAACGCATTTTATCACAGATGCATTAATTTGTCCTTTTCATATTGTATGTAACATAGGTCTTGTTTGATAATCTCAACAAATGTTTCCTTGTTCTTTTCGTAACTTTCGTTTTATTTTCTTTTCTTAGAATGTAATATATTAGTGATATTTCTACTTGAGTTGTAATTGAAACATTGAAAGCCATGGACTTTAGTTAGTGTAAAATATATAAAAAATCTGAATCTAAAAATTCCTTCTGAAAATTGTAGTCATTGTCTTCCTGTTTGATACCAGGAAATTTGTCACAAAATCTTAGTTGTGTTCACTAGTTTGTAAAATTTCATCGGATTGTTTAAAAAAAAAAAATAATAATAATTGTACTGTGTAGCAAGCAATAGATCCCCTAAAAAGCATTTTATCTGGTACTACGATGGCCATCCCTCAAGATTCAGAGGCAAGACTAATTATTTAATCTCCTTTTTCTAAGATCTTGATAAACAGTTATTTCTTCAGAGCATTTCACTGGTAACTGTACACGTTTTCTATGCTCAGATGAACTTGTAGACGATGAATTTTCTAGTGAATCATGATGTTCTAAGCTGAATTAAGTGTTCAACATGCATTTCACCTCTGTAACCTCCGTTGTCCCTCTTGGCTCACTCTTTTATTAATTTTGCAGTGGTTTAACACAATCCAACTACAAGGAATTAAGTGTTTTGTATGAAAAGTACAAAAACAAAGGTATGTGAACCTTTGCAGAGCAATGCCAAAAATTTGTTGATTCATGTGTTTCATACTTATCCATGGGGGTTTTACCTTTTAATTTCTGGCAGGTTTTGAGATTTTGGCATTTCCTTGCAACCAGTTTGGAGGACAAGAGCCGGGAAACAATGAGGAGATTCAAGAAGTTGCATGCACTAGATTTAAAGCTGAATTTCCAATCTTTGACAAGGTATCCTTATATTGGAGAAAATAAATAAACGATAAGTTTGTTAGCAATCTGTATGCAAAATTCTAAATAGAAATCTTTTGTTTGTTCTTGGTGCCATATGGTTGTTGGTAGATATTCTCAACAAGTATCTCCACACAAGTGCACATAGATTATGTGCTCTTCAAATTTCATATATCAAATAAAATGCAGAGAACTGGTTCTACGGTTTTACTTAAATAATTTTTTGATTGATGGCTTTTCTAATATTTAACGACTACTACACGTATAAAGTGACTAGATTAAGGCCTGGTTTGGTACTGAGGTGATTCTGAAAAAAGCTGATATCAAAAAAAGTTGGAATCTGTTTTTGTGTTTGGTAAACATTCAGCTTCAGTTTTTTTTCACAGTTTTGGGTGAAAAGAAGCCAAAAACAAGAAGCTGCAAAACTCAACTTTGAAAAACCGGCTTTTTATCACATTTGTTTTACATAAAAGTTTACCAAACAGTATAATACTGCTTTGTTTTTTTTCAAAAGCACTTTTGCAAAAAAGTTTACCAAACACTCTGCTGCTTTATTTCACAGCTGCTTATTCTCACAGCACAGTAGAAGTAGCTTTTTTTCAAAGCACAACAATACCAAACCAGCCCTAACTAACTCATGCACAACTAATTTAGTTTACTTGTGGTCATTGTAGATTGAGGTGAATGGGAAGAACGAGGCACCCCTGTACAAATTCTTAAAGGGACAGAAAGGTGGGGTCTTTGGGAGTGGCATCAAATGGAACTTTACGAAGTTTCTCGTTAACAAAGAAGGGAAGGTTGTGGAGAGATATGCTCCTGTGACATCACCTCTTAAAATTGAGGTCAGAGTGATTTTTGTGATGATCTGTTTGTTTGCTTTGGGGATAATGAAGACAACAGCTGCTGATTTATTTATCTTTGCTCTGTGCAGAAAGACATCCAGAATCTGTTGGAATCTTCTTGAGTATCAAGGTCTGTATGTTTCTTTGAGAAATGATACACATTAGAGTCGGTTGCATTGGTGTTTGACTTTACATTTTTATTAAAAAAACATTCGTTTTGGTAAATGACATTTGAATCCCGAATCCCAGGACCAGTTCTGCATGCTTCATGATATGCCTGCTTTTATTAGGATAGAATGGTTTAGATCATTTAAGGATAATTTTTCGGGTCTTCAGTGGTGTTTTCACATGCTGACCATAAGGGACCTTAGAGTTGAACAATGATACTAGTTTATGCTCTGTTAAGTTATTCCCTTTTGGGTATTTACCTTTTTGACCTACATGTCCTGCAAGGGAATCGAGCCGGCTGCAGAGTTGGAGTTTATCTAGTCTATTTGAGATCTGGGTTTTCTTGATACCTTCTTGTTTGCCCTTCTTTAGATGAATAAGCACAATAACAGTTTGGTTTCTTTTTCCCAAATATGAAATATAAGGTGACATTTAGATCAGAGTTTCATCCAAGTTTATGGAAGTCCGAATTACAATATGATCCCTTCCATCATGCTGCTAATCTTCGCAGATGGCGCTACACCGCAGTGGCGGAAAGCAATAATGCCTATGCACCCTGGTGTGGGTCCTCTCATCCCCCTTAACATTTAACAATTTAACTTGCTAACGCTATCTTTTGTCAAAAAAAAAAGAAAAAAAAAAAAAAAACATGTTGGTAATCTTCTCTTTCATCTTTAGCAAGTATTACTATTACCTCATTATCATAACTCTCACAAGAACATCTCGTGTGTGAATATGTATTTCACACTGTTAAAAACCAAGCATAGGAGTGGTCCGTAGTTGGATGAATTTTTGGGGCAAATTGAGGTGAAGTACCAATTTGGATAGTTGTTTGAACAAAATAGTTCGCTTTTTCTTTTGCTTGACCGACCTGGTTCTAAACACTAATTAGGTAACGAACATCTTGGATTAGGTCACAACTTTCATTTTATATGTACATTGTTCTTTCATTTTATATGTACATTGTTTACCATGCTTTTGTTCCTAAAACATGTTTTGACATATCAGCTGGTATAAAATTCTAAAAATCAAAAGTTCCTTATTGTAAACGATAGACGTTTAGCATTTAGTATTTAGAAACTTGCCTTGTTCTGACTCTTACCATTTTCCCCGTGATATTTGCAGGACAGCAGGAAGTGTATGGTTTGACCTCACAGAAAATAAAAATTGTTTGCAGTAACAGATGAAGAAAATGATCGAAGCATAATCGATTGATATGTAAAGTTTGATTGGACTCCAAACGACCTATATTTTTTTATTGTTCTTATTGTTATGAATGAGTAGGTGGATACTTGTTCAAGGTTGTGCGTGTGGAACAAGGGGAAGCCTATTCGAACCTGTATCTGTACTATATGAACATCGATATTCTATCATCAATAATCAAAACAGCCTATTATTTACATAAATTTTCTTGTTTACGGGGACTTTTCCGGTTCAAAGACATTCCTTGCTGCTGCACCTTAGCTTAACTATATCTTGAAAGAACTTTGCACATCCATGAACAGGCAAAACATGGAAGCATGGAATGTTGAGAAAGCTTATCGTACCAATCGACGTTTAACTTGGCTTTTGATTAAAATTGGAACCAAACCAGCTGATTTAGTTTGGTTTGTCGAATGACTGGTATGTTTACCCTACCCTGTGAGTGTTTGTAAGTGCGGGAATTCGATGTATCTACCTTCGAAAGTAATTTGATGCCGGAAAAAAAACGATTTCCACACTCATTTCTCATTTTGCACGTCTCTATTTAATTTTGTGGATCCACGTTTAAAATATTACAACCGATGAGTATTGCGATGCGAGAGTCTAATCTAACGTAAATACTAGCTTTAGTTTTCCACATCAGGGTCAGAGGCATCACGTTCAAGTACTAGACGTGGCCTCTTTACTCCGGCTTCAGCTCTGAAGAAATGAATCTTCATTTCACTTCTCTTTTTATTGACAAGCTCGAACACGACGGTGTCCCCGGTTGAAACGTTGTTCGCACGCCAACATGCAATCAACCCTTCCGTCATGCGCAAATGGCCGCTACTATACTTTGTATTATCGAGCCGGAGCTTAACTTTCCATGACTTCCCATTTGGATCTATAAGTCTCACCCTCTCCTTTTTTATGAGACCTACTGCTACAGCTAGTTCCTTCGGTACGGTCTGCAATATCAAGGACAGAACGACAAAAAACGGAAAGAAAATGCTCAGTCACTTGTGTCACGGCCCCAAGGAAGCGCACGCAGGCACCTACGTCGAAAGGACCAGTCACTAATGAGGCTCCCTGTAACCGCTTATAGTAAACACATGTGAAGTTAGGTTGTGCATGCGTGTGTTTAATTCTAAGCGATTGCAGGGAGCAGCGTAATAACTAGTCATTTTGGGTATAATGCCGAGATGGCACGCGCTTCCCTGGATCGGAGAAGGTTTCATAAATATCGTGCTCACCATTCGATAAGGGTTCTTCGACACATCTCCTTCGAAGCATGTATACTTGGATCTGAACACGATGAGTCCATCTGATGTTTGTTTCACATCAGCAGGCTCGTATGACATGCCTGTAGAGAAAATAGCACATTCGAACACAATGTCTCCAAACAGATACACATGAATAAGAAGAAAAGAAACACCCATTTACCACATACAAAACTTGTATAACTCACTTTTCTTTCGTTTGCGAATTCTAGCTTGATTTCCAGTTGTCTTCTTGGCAGCTGCAGCTTCCTCCTTTTCGCATCCAGTTGGATTATAGATTTTGACATCAAACTTTGTGTGGCCATCGTACTCAAAAACCAAGAAATTTCCAATTTCTAAGAGATGATCCTCCACGAAATGACGCCAACCCTTGCGGAAGAAAAACTTTCCATCCTTTCTCCCTTCCAATCCTACTGTCCACGATTCTCCACTCGGGCTTCTAAGAGTGCATTTGCAGGGAGGCCGTCCATTGAAATTCTCCATGAATAAAGGTGGCAGGCACTTCAAAGTTTCATGGTATCAGAAAACAGAAATGCAGTTGTGTAACATCAAAATATGAAAACAATTAATCAAACACTGCCTAATTCTATGTCAAATCAGAAAAGCCATAGCATGTGTGACTGAATCAGCCAATATCAATGTATGATCATAAATCCGATGAGAAGTTTGTTTAATTTCCGCGGTTACAAAAGTCTGTATCGTTCAAGTGGAAGGTTCCATAGATAAATCACAAGAAAACACTTAATTTTGCAGAAGAGTGTGAACAGAAGTGTTTGTTTTGGCCTTGGAAGGCAGAGTGCCTAACAAATATAAATTGCCAAAAAAACATGTTCGCTAAAAAGAACAACAAAATCCAAAAGTTAAAAGGCACTCCTCATCCAAATGACAGAACAGAGAAAGAAACAGAAAGTATTTGTCATCCATTCGCTGCTGCAGCGACTGATCATGAACTAATCTCAAGTGAAAACGGAAGCTAGTGAAGGAGCAGGATGTTACCAAATGCCGAGAGAAGTCATCATCAACTAGGGGCTTGAAAAAGGATCGCACTCTCCGTGCAGGATTTGTTGAGTTCCTCGCCATTTGAGCGGAAAAGCTTTATTGAAATTCCGAAAATGGGTGATAATACACTTCAACAAGTACATCGAAAACTGAAAAATATTGTAGCAAATTTCAACAAACTACTTCATAAAGGAGCAGACTTGGTAAACGAGATTAAAGTAGTCCTAAAAGATTGTTTGAAATATATTATGTGCATGCTGCCTCAGGAATTTATAAGTTGAACTAAGAACAGGTAGTAATTATAAAATTTACAAACATACGAAGATCTCCAAAACGTGATTAATAACACTAATATAAACACTAAACAAACTTATAAGTAATAATAATTCAAACTGATATGCGTTTGAGAAGCTCGTATCGGTTTCACAGTTACAAGATGATGAGAAAGCATACCTGCAGATTCTTTAGGGGATTTTCTGGGAGAGAAGATTGCCTCAAAACTCCATCCTTTGTCTTGACTAGTTTTTCCTAGGAAACATTAGACACGAGGAGGAGGAAAAGTAAAACATGTGAAGGAGGTAAAAGGTTCAGCCACCAACCATCGTAAGTTTCTTTTAATTTTCCTCACATTTTTTGCAATCAAAATTGACATGCATTGAATCATTTGCATGTGCATTATTTGCTCATTTGGGATGATGCAATATATATATATCTGGATATGGAAACTCTAGACAAATTCATGGAAAAGTGAATTTTTCCAGTTTTGAACAAGTGATTTTGTTCTCATCTCACCTTCCCCCGATCAATTACTTCACTTCTCAACCAAAAAAAATCAACTACTCCTCCACTCATCACCTAATTATCCATCTAGTATTTTGACTAAAATTGTTGATCAAACAAATGGTGATAAAATGTATAATAATTTTGTTGTTTAAACATAAAACGGACACATTTGCTAACGGTCTCTGCCCAGTACGGGGGCTATATGCTAGTTATCAGGCAGGGCTGGCTACACGTAGCCTTCGAGCCTCGAGCGAGCCCTCTAACAAAGCTTTTGTGGAGCTCACATGGGCTTCCTATTTGTTTCTTCGCACTCTTTCAAATCATGACAACAACAAAATGTAGATTCTTTTTTTTTTTTTTTGGGTAAAAAAAAGGTGTCCTTGGCTCCCAATTCTTCTCTAAATTGTTTCTATCAAGAACACTTTAAATTGGAAGCAGATTTGGAAGAAGCCTGGCAAACGGTGAAATTGTCTATAAACATGCATGGATGGAACTTTAAGCTCACTTAATCTGGTTGAAGGCTCCATGACTGCAGTCACTACAACCACAAGGAATAGGGACCCATCTCCTATGGCTCGGGTTCTTGAACCACTATTGTCAAGAAATGTTCCAAACGCAGTAAAATTAACATGACATTACATTAGTCCATGCATGCACTTAAAACAAACAATAGGAGTTAGACGTCGTGTAACTCCTCCCTTGTCGAAAAAAAAATAAGAGAGGAAGCAGTGCTTGTTAACTTTTTTGGGAATGCTGATAACAATTCCCATGCATTAAATAAACAATCTTTAGATAATTACGTGATCTGATGAGGCTGAAGTAATTGATTGGGGATGGTGAGATGACAGGAAAAAAGAATCCAATGCATCATCGATGCTAAATTTGGTTCTACACTTTGAAAAGGTCACTTTAAAGGCAATACGAAACTGGAAAAACCCACCTAGACAGATCAGTTAAATATTTATTAAATGCAGTAATAATTCATCCCAAATTAGCAAATAATGCACATGCATGGTGGGTGCACTTGTAATTCCCGCCCCTTCAATAAATTTGTGACTGTTTATGTAATTCACATATATAGTTTGACAAAGATCACCAGCCAGCTAGCAGAGTTGGCATCAGCTTCAATCCCTTACCTCAAATTCTCTCCCAGCTCGATCATACTTAGCCAAGATTTTTCAGCTGAAATGCCGCCTTCACAGAGAGTGTGATCCTTCTTCAAGCCCCTAGTCGATGATGACTTCTTCTCTCGGCATATGGTAATTTTCCGTTTTCCTGTTTTAAGTTTATCGGATAGGCGTTGTTCAAGTGCATTTCCATTTAGCTTTCGGATTAGTGAGTAACTATGTTTCTGTCAGTCCGTGCTTGCCTTCTGAGGGCAAAGGCCCAAAACTTGCATAATTACAGACTAAACTGGATATAACTTCAATTTTTTGAGCAAATAGTAGGAATAACTGTCTCCTTAATGATAAAATTAAATTTCTTTCTAATTATCTCTTTAATTATTTCTTTTATTTATTTATTTGGTCGAAAGTGGAGTAATTGATTGGGGAAGGTGAGATGATCACTTGTTCAAAACTGGAAAAGTTCACTTTTCCATGAATTTGTCTACAGTTTCCATATCAGTTATATATATATTTCGTCATCCCAAAGGAGCAAATAATGCACATGGAAATAATTCAATGCATGTCAATTTTGATTGCAAAAAATGTTAGGAATATTAAAAGAAACTTATGATGGTTGGTGGCTGAACTTTTTGCCTCCTTCACGAGTTTTACTTTTCCTCCTCCTCATGTCCAATGTTTCCCAGGAAAAACTAGTCAGACAAAGGATAGTGTTTTGAGGCAATCTTCTCTCCCAGAAAATCCCCTGAAGAATCTGCATGTATGTTTTATCATCATCTTGTATATCTATGAAACCAGTATAAGCTTCATAGTTAGACAGCATCCAGATAATCTATTTCAACCATTCTTTTAGGAGTACATTTATCTTGTTTCCCCAGTTTGCTCCTTTATGAAGAAGTAGTTTGTGGAAATTAGTTGCAATATTTTTCGGATTTCCGTTTACTTGTTGAAGTGGATGATCACCCATTTTCGGAATTTCAGTCAAGCTTTTCCGCTCAAATGGCGAGGAATTCAACAAATCCTTCACGGAGAGTGCGATCCTTTTTCAAGCCCCTAGTTCATGATGACTTCTCTCGGCATTTGGTAACATCCTGCCCCTTTAGTAGCCTCGTTTTCACTTAGAATAATTCAAGATCGATCGCTGCAGGAGCGAATGGATGATAAATACTTTCTGTTTCTTTCTCTGTTCTGGCATTTGGATGAGACATGCCTTTTTAACTTTTCGATTTTTGTTCTTGGTTCTTAGTGAGCTTGTTAAATTTTTTGGTAATTAATGTTTGTTAGGCACTCCGCCTTCCAAGGCCAAAACAAACACTTATGTTCAGACTCTTCTGCAAAATTACAAAGTGTTTTCTTGTGATTTATATATAGATGAACCTACCATTTGAACGAAACAGACTTTTGTAACCGCAAAAATTAAACAAACTTCTCTTTGGATTTACGATCTTGCTTTCATATTGACTGATTCAGTCATGCATGTGAAAGCTTTTCTGATTTGGCATAGAATTAGGCAGTGTTTGATTAATTGTTTTCATATTTTGATGTCATACAACCGTATTCTGTTTTCTGATACCATGAACTTTGAAGTGTCTGCCACCTTTATTCATGGAGAATTTCAATGGACGGCCTCCCTGTAAATGCACTCTTAGAGGCCCAAGTGGAGAATCGTGGACAGTAGGTTTGGAAGGAAGAGAGGATGGAAAATTCTTCTTCCGCAAGGGTTGGCAGAATTTCGTTGAGGATCATCTCTTAGAAATCGGTAATTTCTTGGTTTTTAAGTACGATGGCGACACAAAGTTTGATGTCAAAATCTATAATCCAACTGGATGTGAAAAGGAGGAAGCTGTAGCTGCCAAGAAGACAACTGGAAATCAAGCTAGTATTCGTAACCGAAGGAAAAGTAAGTTATACAAGTTTTGTATATACATATATACACTACAGGCATGTTCCTTTCTTTTCTTGTAATGTTGTATATACATATACACACTACAGGCATGTGTATCTGTTCGGAGACAATATGTTCGAATGTGCTATTTTCTCTACAGGCATGTTGTACAAGCCTGCTGATGTGAAAGAAACATCAGATGGACACATCGCATTCAGATCAAAGTATAAAACATGCTTCAAAGCAACTGTGCCGAAGATTCCTTATCGAATGGTGAGTACTTTCTTCAACCCAATTTGTAAGCCAATTATGTTTATGAAACCTTCCCCGATAGATCCTGGGAAGGGCATGCCATCTCAGCGCTATACCCAACCGACTAGTCACTGATGATGTTCCCTGCATATTGCAGACTGTCCCCAAGAAGCTAGCTGTAGCAAAAGGTCTCATTGAAAAGGAGAGGGTGAGGCTTATAGATCCGGATGGGAAAGCATGGAAAGTTAAGCTCCGGGTCGATGAGATAAAATCTTGTGGCAGTCGTGTGCTCATGACGGAAGGGTTGATGAAATGTTGGCATGCGAACAACGTTTCACCCGGGGACACCGCCGTGTTTGAGCTTGTCAACGAAAAGAGAAGTGAAATGAAGATTCATTTTTTCAGAGCTGAAGCCGGAGGAAAGAGGCCTACTGTTGTGCTTGAACTTGATGCCTCTGACTCTGTTGTGGAAAACTAAAGCTAGTTGACATTATATAGGGTTGATTGTGGAACAAGATTATTGAGGTTTTTGGAATCATATTAAGAACATATTCATTGTGGTGGCAACATCCTACTCTATTTGTGTGTGATGAACAGTTGCTTTTGTATTCCCTTACTTACTGTTGTAGTGGCAGAGTCAGGATTTTCAAATAACGGGTTCATGATTTTGACCAAAACTTCATTAGACTATTTCGTTGAGTGGTAGGAACATGTGGATTCTTGCCAACATCTACAGAAGGCTTATGCCAACATAGGTCAACAATTACTATGATATGTAGCGACTTATCAAGAGTGACTACAGGAAACTATAACGTAATGTTGAAGACTGCCAAACTTGTCAACAGAGACATTTCACTGAGCGCTTGATGCACAAAATAAAGTCGCACAAAAGAAGATAAAAAAAGAAGACAGGGATGATAAAAAAAAAATATAAGAAGTAAAAGGAAAATGTTGTAATTTAGTTTGCCTAGTTGTTTGAAGTTGTTGGAGTCATGGACAACAAATGATCCCATGTCACCCTTGTTTGTTTGCAGAATTTAAATTGAATAAATAAAAAAGAAATTAACAGACAACAAATTAGCACACATGAGTTGAAGGAGAAAATAGGCCTACGAAAATTATTTTCCAGACAACAAATGAAATTTGAAGGTAGATGTATCCAATTCTATTGATTTCAAATTTTAGGGACCAAAGGGATGAGTTATACAAATCTCATAGACCATTTTGGTTAAAAAGCCAAAAAAGAAAATAACAGAGAGGACTTCGACACAATTTCGTAGCCGTCTATGTATCTATTGATTTCAAATTTCAAGGACCAAAGTGATGAGTTATGCAAATCTTATGGACCATTTTGACTAAAAAACCAAAAACAAAAACAGAGAGGACGTCGACACGTGTGTCTACAAATCACGGGAGGAGGATTCTCTCCCCTCTTTTGGATTGGCATACAATGGGATGCTGTTTTGGATGGGTACTAGAAAGGAAGGGACCTTTCTTATTGGATTTGATTTGATCTGTTCAACATCAAGTACAAGAACAAGAAGAGGACTAAATCGACTGGTGTCGGTATTATTGATAAACAATGTTTGACTGCATCAGATGAAAATCCTGGAGTTAGGCTTCTGTATGAGTCCCAAGGATGTCTGCAACTGTGCAACTACGACAAATGTTCGCTTGTTCTGTCAGTTTGGGGTTTGATATTAGATAAAGAGTGTTTGATTTTGAAGCCCAGGGTTCTTATGGACCCATATACACTTTTGGGGTACTCATATGCCCCGGCGCTGCCTGCATGTTAATCTGCTTGCTTTGGATCCAAATAACAACGATATCTTGTATTTATGTGTAAAAGAAAACTTGGTCACGTGCAACATTCGTACAACATCGTCCGAAAGAAGAGATCTTGCATGGACTTATAAATTAATCTCTTTTTTTTATTTTTTGTTGAAAAGTAACGTTTTATTAAGTAGGAAAAGAGGTTACAGGCCAATCCAAAGGACAACATAATAACCGAAAATACACTGGGGGAAATCATAAACACAAAACCCAGCCCAATGAGCAAACAAACGAAAACTAAAACCCTAATCCCTATCCTCCAAACGCAGAGAGCAGCTCCACCTGCCACTGCCGCCACGAACGTCCTGCCAGCAGCCACCAAGGCAGCAACACAAGAGAAAACGACCAAGTGGTCAATTCGACCAAGATATCGTAGCACAAAAATTACCAACCCGCAACCAGAAGAGCACCACAACCAAATGTTGTCAAAAGGGTATTTCAACATTTTCCATGTTTTCCCAAAACAGTGCAATGGTGGACCGACTATGGTGAGGAGTTTGTCTGTTCACATTCTCTAAAATGGGTATGCTGCTGCTAGTGTGACTAGAACCCATGTCCTACCTTTTCCCTTGCAATCACCTCGTACATGAAAACCGAAATTCAAGGTGACTTGAAATGTTGTTGAGTAGTTTCCTCGTGTTGGTTAGATGCACTGCAATCAAAATGAGCACACGCAGAGAACGATTAAATCAATGCAGATGACATAAGCAATTATGGTCGTTAAAATTCATTCGATTCAAAACTAGCTCCCCCAAAAGTAAAACAACTGCAGGAGTCGAAAGAATCTAAAAATCTTGCCCAAAAGTGCAACAGAACAAAATAACTGCGGGCGTTGAAGGAATCTAGTAAGTGCATTAAAACGAAGACATTGCTTAACCATGGATTTACATGCATTGCCTAGTCATTTGACTATCATCGTGATAATTTCTATGTTTAAAAACATTGTCCTTGCATATGGAGTTGTTCAATGACAATTGGACGACTAATTTCATATTTGTTGATTTCTTAGCATGAACGATCTTGAAAAGGAATTCAATACATTGATGGCTCGGATCATTAGAGCACATAGTAAGTGATTCTTCTCTAAAATGAGGACATCAGACATCCTTATAAGACACCAATCGTATCTCATACCTGACTTACTTCATAAATTCAAGCACAGTATTTTGTTAGTTGATCAACGACTATCCTCAAGGTTCACAAGTAGGAAGCTTGTGACGGCAAATCCCAGACATACTTTTCTGGCATCGTTTGTCATTATGAGGAAGTTTGACTGGAGCTTCTCGCATCTGTGTAATGCCTGCAATTTGACATTAGACACCTTATGAGATCTTGCGGAGAATTTCCAAACGCAGCTCTGATCACATAATCCTTATTACACTCAATTAGTAAGTCATAAGTAATTGCTGTAAGAGTAACTAGGCAAAATAAGTTCAAGCTCATACAGAAATTTCATCCTGTAAACTGTTTTTCGAACAATATTGTTTTGTTTTCATGCATAGGATATTTTAATAACATTACTACCTAGACATGATTGATTGGAAATCAAATACAACTTCCCCTGAACTCAACTCCACGTCACCAACCTGCTCACTCAACGAGCAACAACAGCAGTAAGTAATAGAGCTACACAATATCATTCTCGCCACAATGAAGTAGCAAATAACATATTGAATTATCTGTACCTAGTACATAAGTATTTGAACAACGATACATTTAAACAGGTGTAGAGATATGAATAATAAAAACCTGAATTTCTGACCTTCTGATGATTCACCATGAAAATGGCTATGGAGCAGTAAATAAATTCTAGCAGCAGAGACCTGCTGCATATTCTCATTAAGCAGCATCATATGAAAGCCTTGGTGCAGAACATCGAAACTATGTTGTATGGATACAATTTAGGAAATGTGAGATGATACTGCAAAACCACAATTTTCTAAAAACTTGTTATGAAGACTACAAGGAATATTACAACCAAATAAGATTCTAATGAATAGTTTTGTTTTCATATTAGCTTCTTTAACATCTTAAAATGCCCACTAAGCCCTTTTTCAATCATACCCCCCATTTCTTCTATAGAAATTTTACAAATAACCCCTACTACTCTTGCTTGTATCCCTTGTGTATCCATAATACATGCCTCACACATATCCATCCCATACCCAAAAATCAACAAGATACAGATTTGGAATATCTGACATCCATCAAGGCATCATGGGGAAGTATTGGTATTGGATCCTGCATTCTCAAGATTTTTGGGGTAACCATGCTATGAAATTATATAAGATGACATACCTCCTTTGAATAGGTAGGAGATAAAAGTTCTAGTTTTCTTGAATTTCTAGCCGCTTCACAAAGTGAAGTAAAAATGTGGTCACTTCATTAAGCAAGCAACAATCATTCACATCCTATGTTGCATATGCTTGCACACTGGACTCTGATAGAAATGCGGTCCACTCCACAACAGCACCGTCAACCAGGTCACCAGGTCCAGTGAGTCATCAGATGGTGCATGAGTAACAAACAATGATGGTCTAAAAAACACATTAATTTCTGTCAGATGCCTCTTCTTGCATATGCCAATGGATATCCTGCGCAAATAATTGAGATATATAAGAAGAATAAAAAACAAAAACAAATAATTTACAGTGACAAGCAGAGGCAATTAGATATCAGCAGCACCAACTGTTTCAGATTACAGCTTCCCATACTTTGAAGTTTGCACCAAACAAGCATAGATTACCTCTTGATAATAGTTTTAAAAATTGATAAAACAAATAAATAAAGCATATTATCTAAGTCATTAAATAGAAATTTTGGGAGAAAAAATTGTTGATTTCATCAACAATTCTGTTTTTTTTTTTTCTAAAGAAAAAAAAAAGCCCAGTTGTAAGAACTAGAAAGCAGAAGCACTGGCTGCTGCTGTGGTATCAAAAATCTGTGTGATCATTATGATTCAAAGATCTTTTCAAAATGAATCTAAAATCCTGGACTAACCTCTAAATGCTACAGAAAGGGTCTTCACAAACCTTAAAAAAAGCACAAAAGATAACTTATAGGTAGATACTGTAAATTGACAGCTTGCAGCAGCTCAATCACATACTGCAGCAAAGTACTGCAGCAAAGTAAGATAGCTCATCCACAACAAATCAAAAGGCGCTTATGCGAAATGCTGCCGAGACAGTAAGGCAAAGTTGAGAGATAAGAACAAAACTGCTGACTGAAAGATTGTTCAAGTAACCACTGATCTTATACAGCATAAAGAAAATTCACTTCACAAGAAATAGAGGGCATCATGATGAGGAACTACCAGACAGTGGGTTGACTCCTGAACAGACAAGTCGGCCAAACCATTCAATATAAGATACACAAACAAACAATTCGTTCAAGTAGTTGAATATGAGTTCCAATATTATCACATTTTCTTAATTCATTCCTTTGAATAGTCAATAATGGCTTAAAGGTCCACGCACAGATGCAAAATGCATGGCCAGTCATGACATTTACATGCTTAGGGAAGTAAAGCTAAAGGGCTAAGAAATAAAAGCCATAGAAAATATTTTTTTTTTTTTTTCATTTTCTAGGGCATTAAATGTATCATATTCCCACCTAAAAGATAGAAGCAAACAAAAGAAAAGAAATGATTAAAAATATACATAAAGAGAAAAAAGACTTCATGCAAAAGAAATAGTTGAAAGCTACAGTATGGAAGAAAAGACGAAATAGAGAGACGAACCATGTAGCATATGCTATCTGATAGTTGAAGAGCTTCATCCCACTTGTTAGCTTTAATAAGCCCTTTAATAAGATGAAAGAATGTATCCAGCTCTGGAAAACCACCATGCCTCATCATGTCTGCAAACATCTCCAGTGCCTTACCGACCTTATTTGCATGTGAAAGACTTTCAATCAATGAAGTGTACATATTCTTGTTCACAGATGTAAACGGTGAAGATGACGAAATCTCTTCAAGCAGCTCAAGAGCCACTTCCAACCTTCCAGCCTTTACAAAATTATCAATCAGAACTTTGTATATGTGAGTAATTGGCACTGTGTCACATTCACTAATCTCATTTAAAAGCCCAAGAGAGGTCATGAACTCTCTATTGTAACCTTCAATAACTTTACGGTAGCCTGCCATATGCTTTGGCCAATGTGTTTGTTTCATTTCATCCAAAAGCTTATGAGCTTCATCCAGTAGTCCAGTTGAACAGCAATGATTTATCAAAACCCCGTAGGTGATAAAATTTGGAGCACAACCCTTAGAGCTCATTTGTTTAAAAAGCTCAAAACACTTTTCGATATTACCTGCTTTCCCAAAGCCATCTATCATTGCAGTATAAGTCACGACATTTGGATAACACCCTTTTTCTTCCATCATCAGCATAAGCTTATAGGCTTCGTCTGTTTTTCCAACTTTACACAGGGCATCAATCATCTCTGTGTAGATAACAACATTTGGTGCACAAGAGTTTTCTAACATTTTGGACAAGACTTTTAAAGCAAGATCCAGTCTTTTATCCTTAAACAACCTATCAATCAAAGAACTGTACGTATACACATTTGGACTGTACCCTTGCTCTGACATCTTAGCAAACACCTCTTGTGCTTCATCTAGCTTCCCATACTTGCAAAATCCATCTATAAGAGCATCATAAATAATATGGTTAGGTTCACAACCTTCTTCTAACATAGCATGCAATAAATCACGGGCCTCTTTAACCTTGTGTGCTTTGCATAAACCATCCACCAAAGCCCCATAAGTATAGACATTAGGTTCTCTAATACTCTGATCATCACTTCCAAAATACTTATCAACATCAGGGACGTCCACATTACCTCTCATTCTCTCATATATCTGGCAAGCCTTTTCAATTCTACCAGCTTTACAATGACCATCAATTAAAGCAGTATAAGTAATAACATTAGGACTGCAACCTTCAGTCAACATCATCTCAAAGAGTTGATCAGCATCAGACACCTTCTTTGCTTTAAGGTATGCATGTATAAGAGCAGTATATGTCACCACGTTTGGAGCACAACCATTTCGTATCATTTCATTAAACCAGCTCCGAGATTGTTCAATAAGGCCAGCTTTACAAAAACTATCAATTAAAATAGTATAGGTATAGACATCAGGAACAATACTGTTCCTTTTCATTTCTTTAAACAACAAAAATGCTTGTTCTACCTTGGAGGCATTACACAAAAAGCCAATAACATTAGCATACGTACTAGTGTCAGGAACAAAACCCCTGCTCATCATTTCGCTGATAACCTTATAGGCTTTCTCAAATTTTCCGGCACCGCAAAGACACCATGCAAAATTGCTCACATTGACCTTACTTAGAACAACCCCTGCATCAAGCATCTCACCATAAGCTTTTTCAGCCAACTCTAACATATCTGGGCTTGGTAATTCCCTGTTTCCACATATACCACCAATCAAGATATTGTAAACCACGTAGCCTGGCTGGCAGTCACATCTTACCATTTTCTTAAGCAACTTATAAGCATAAGAGTAATCTCCGGACCTACAATAAGCATGTACAAGAGAACTAAATATCTGAGGGCTTGGATAACAACCTTCTGTGATCATCATACTAAGAATTCTCTTGCACCTACCGAGCTGTCTTTTCTTCAAACACCCACAGAGCAAAGTCCTATAGGTCACAACATTAGGAATGCAAGAATCACATCGCATTCTGTTCAAAAAATCCATAGCTTCCTCAAAAAGTGAAGCTTCACACAACCCAGATATCATCTTCGTGTAAAGAATAGTATTGGGCACAAACTCTTCCTTCTCAACCAATGCAAGAGCTTCCTTCCACCTCCCAGCTTTGCAAAGGGCGTGAACAAATGAACCAAATGTATACTCATCCATCTTAAACCCTGAATCCAACATCTCCACATGGACCAAGTGTGCTGTGTCCAACTTATCTGCTTCTAGAAACACTTGAACTAAAGCATTGTAAGTTGCTTGAGTTGGCTTGTATCCAAAATCCTTGAGCCTCCCAGCTCTTCCAAAGCTACATTCCACAACCCATTTCGGCAATACTTCCGAATCAAAACATTAAGCAACTTCCTCAGCACCTCTCTATCATCACCCTTAATTTCTTGCAGAAATTGTTCCGCCACCCTCTTATTACCACACTCCAATAACTCTAACAACGCGTTGTACACGGGAGCAGTGTGACTATACCCAATTTGTCTACCTGCCCATATGAAAAATTTCACACCCAATTCAGGGTTTTGTATAAGCTTCAACACCTCCACCACCAGAGTTTCATTCAGATTATCCCTAAACTGCCTAAGAAACTTCTGGGTTTTGTCATCAAACTCATCATTATTATTCCTGATAGCATTCGAAATCAAAATGGCATTGTCAGAAAACTTAGCTGATTCAAATTTTGGCATCGAAGACCCACCACCAGCACTGGTATCCAACACCGAATCGCGCAGAGAGGCGAATTCCTCAGCCGAAATAGACTCAACTCCAGAACTCTCCAGCTTGAACAAGTCGTTGGGATCGACCAGACCATCGAGATTGTCCTCCGAAGAAGTGCAAAGTAATCTGGGGAAGCAAGGTTTTAGACTTTGGTGGGAGGATTTGAATGGAGAAGGGAATGGGTGTGGTGGGTTTGTGGAGAAAAAGGGGTTGGACTTCAGAGGTGACGAAGATATGGTGGAAATTGATTGCCAGACGAGAGTTTTCAACCGCCTTCTGCTCATTTTTGAACTGCGAGAGCTTGGAGCGGGTGTTTGTTTTCAGGGTTTATGATGGGGTTTTCTTTTCTGGCCGGAAAGAAAGACGATATAACTTACAAGGGCCTGTTTGAAACGTTTTTGAATAGCCTAAAAACCGTTTTCCGCAGCAAATCATTTAAGTGCTTTTTTAAGAAGAACTTAAATATTTAATGGTTAACAACATTTTGCACCTTAGAGCGTCTCCAATTCTTTAATTGTAACTCTTCAGATGAACCATTTCTAAGAAAAAATTTCAGAAAAATTACCATATTTTTAGTTTAGGTACCAATTGATAGGTCAATCCAAATTATCTTATACAAATCACATAATATCACTAAATTTTTCAATAATTAGTGGCCGGCCAGCCTTCAAACGACTTTTCTGGCAACCCTCGACTTTTTTGGTGATTGGCTGGACAACCAGAGGCGGCGTTGAGGGGGAGCGAAATGTGCAATCGCACAGAGCTCCCAAATTTGAAGGGCCCCTCAAAAATTTTTGGTATCTTATATTTATATGTAATAATGTTATATATTAAAAATATACTTTAATTGGCACTTTAAAATCTTATAGTGTACTTTTAATAAGTGTAAATTTTTTTTCTTTCTAAATATAAAAATTTGGAGTACACAATAAGAAAACAGGAGTGCCAATAACACCTTAAAAAACGATTTTCTTTTCAATTTTATTATATAATAATGCTATATATTCAAGTGAAACTTTAAAGTTAGAGTTTTTGAAGCTTTTTTTTTTTTTTATTATTTGGTTGCTTAAGATTGAAATGTTTTTGATTATCTAGTGAAGATATGTTTGTAACTCTTTTTACTTATTTAATGACATTTGTAAACTTACAACTAGTGAGTCCTAAAGGTTGTTTTGATTTAAGTTATTATTTTCTCGTACCAATATATTGTCCTATGTTGTAGGCATAATTTACTGAATAATTATGGAGGCCATATAGAGAGAAAATGTACTGCATAGAGAGAAGAAGAGAGAGATGTATAATTGTGGGGTGTGTGTTATTCCACCCCATTGTGTCTTTAGTTATAGTAGAAGGGAAGGTTAATTCCTTACCCTTTAGGATTACAACATTTAATAGGTAATCTACTCTAATAGGAATATAAGATACATTCTCATATCTACTAGGATTTACACAATCACATTCCTAATCTAATAGGACTGCAACACTCTCCCTTAAGTGTGTAAATACTCAAGTAAATGATGCATCAAGTCTTCAACGATGAAGTAAGTACAGTTTATGAAGTCGTCGGCACAATGAGCAAATGCAAGTCTCAAATCAACGGAAGAACGCATGAAAAAGTAAAACTCACAAAACCTCGTTATAATAAAACCCAAGGTGGGAGAAAATAGACTAAGGAGAAAAGTGAGAAGTTGCATTAAGTCAAAACTATATGTCTTTTAGACGCAAGTAGAAGAGCTCACAAGGGTATGATAAGCCCAGGATAGGTGCCTTGTTAAAACCTAGTTAGGTAGCAAAAAACCCAGTGGGAAAAAATGCTCCTAATCGTAGGGAAAATGAGTACATTAAGATCAAGTGAGTATACTTCTGGATACTCCCCCTGAGTTTGACATAACTTCCAAATGAGAACTACAAGCATTGCATATGATAGTTAGGTATAACAATCCTCGGACAAGTTTCTGGAAGGTTGATTTCAGCAGTGACGTCATGTAGAGGTCGGCAAGGTTGTCTGAGATTGGCTTGCACGACTTCAATCTCCTGATGCTTTGCTGATGTAGATGTGGACGCAATATGTCTTGGTGTTAACTTCGTTGATGTATCATGGCTTGGTCGGGTTGATACATGCAGCATAATCTTTATGGATCGTCGTTGGGACTCAACGATGGATGAAAAATAACAAGTACTTCGAATATGCTTAACAAGAACTTCTAACCATGTCTCACTTATGGTGTAATGAAGTAAGGCAAGTCTTAGAATGATTCGAAGATTTTGCAACTAAGGACATATCGTGGACCTCCAAGATATTGCGATATCCCTAACGGTAAAGACATAACCATTTAGGGATTTTGCATTGTGCGGGTTTGATAAGTAACCTACGTCAGCATAACAACAAGGCAAGCATCATTTCGAGGATTAGGGAGTTGGATCCACTTGAGATGCGTTGGGATTTGCCTTCGTAGTTCCTTTAAGGTACGTCTTTAATACCAATTCAATGGTTGCGTGTAGGCGTAGGTGCTGCATCTTTACCAAGATCAATAGCGAATGAGATGTCCTATCTAATACAATGAGCTAAGTACAACAAAGCGCAAAGTTGAACTCTAGATATGGAATTTCAGATTCCATAGCCTCTTCAAGGGTCTCATTGCATATAATGTATGGACGATCAAATGTATACTTAAAGGTGACACCTTCAGGGTGTAGTTTAACTGGTAGACCAAAATACTGTCAAAACAATGCTTCAACTTCAGGTCAAGGCATAGATGAGTTTTCCCAAGATCCATTATCTCAAATTCCATCTTTAGGTGCAAGGCAGTTTTCTCAAGCTCTCTGATGTCTTAGTGAGAATCGTGTCAACGACATAAATTGTAACTCTAGCAATTTGAAATAAGACTTCATAGTTTAACACACAAGGGCATAATTCATCCCTGACTAATCAAATAATCACTTAGACGGGTATACCACTTCCATCAAATTGTAAGTGAATGCCTCAAATAAGTTAAGAAGGTGTTTCGTGGTTTGGAACTATTTGAACTAGTCCACGTAATTCTTCGGGAACTTACATGTAAATCTCCGTATCTATATCCCTATGGAGGAAACACTAACCACATTTCATAATGTTGCTATTAATCACATGACGTTTGAGATAAACTTTGCGCCGTAAGGTGTGTATCATATCACACTATTTCATTCATCTTATAACGCTTCATTTCCCACTTGTAACACAATAAGGTTACCTTGGGCAGTGTAGGAATGACAGGTCCAATACATACTTTGGTAAGGAATTTGACCTGGATTGTAATTTCGGTTGTCCAATCAGTTCTACGTTGTCACTTAATCAACAGAACACGGTTCGATATCGTCGCTTTTCATTTATGTTGATAGCTACCATATAAGTGAAAACATCATCGATGGTAATCTCATTTCAAATCCATTTAGTTCATCCAAACTAGTATACTGGACTAAGAACTTCAAGTCTCGGGAGTAATCCGAATTAATCTCATGAAGTGGAAATGATTTAAGACAACGATCGAGTTTAGATTCATTGTTGTGTCCTGTCTTCCTCTTCTAGGGAAGTGAATCTTACGAACTGAATGATCTGTCATGCTCCAGGACAAGACAGATTGATTGGCTATTCGTCGGTATACCAGACCGTTCAACAAGGGCGTCCAACCCATCCAACAAGGGCAGCACATCTTCCAAGGATGTTGACTTGACGTCCATTAAGTACGTCTATCCTTGCAACATGTTTGCAGCTGGTATATGATCACATCACTTTAGCTAAATCAGAGGAATGCATATGGAGCAACATTATGAAAGCTAGAATTTATCGCACTTGCTTATCACACGTGTGAGGTATGGGGATCGAGATGAGATATAGTGGGCAACTTCCATGCAACTTCGGGTCATTCAAGAGGAACGTTGACATTCTTATCTCCCCCTAACGGCGGGAAAACTGTCTCATTAAAGTGACGACCCGTAAATGAGAGGTAAAAAGATTGTGTGCAAGGGCTCGAAAAGAACTAATGTGAAGGAGAATCATAATCGACAAAGATTCACATCCTTCTTTGATGACGCATAGTGGTATGTTGCAGTGGCACAACTTGGCACATGGAATGCTCACCCATATGCGTAAATACGAAAATCGTCAGGTTCGTACCCAGTAACTAACTGTAACATCATATTGATTGGGTGGCAATGGGCCCTAAGGCAGACCAACATAACTGTGTACAAGATTGCATAGCCCTAGGCAAAAACCAAAAACTTGGTATGTTTACCAAAATCTAGGTGATCATTTAAATTGCGCTTTATGATCGCTAGGCGAGGCTATTTGGGGTGAGCATGAGAATTCGATGTTCAATTATAAACCAAAATACATGCAATACTTTGTTGAAAACCGTCGATTTAAACTCTCCGGCATTATCCAGTCTCTTGGACTTTAAGGGATAAGTAGGATGTTGAGCCCTTAATCGTTGCCCTATGAGGTTTAGTAGTAATGTGTGTGGACAAACATGTGACCATTTTGTCGTTTCATCAACCAAAACCATAAGTATTTATATGATCCGCATTTTGGTTGGATTAGTTCACATATATCCCTTGAATCCACTGTGAAAAAGGGAGTCGTTTTGTATCTTTGCTAGGGATGATTTAGAAATCAAATTTCCCAAAATGAGCGGGTTTTGGCAAGTGTGCTCGTAGGCACAAGATCTTTACATCGAGTAAGGAGATGCATTGTAGCATCATTGTTCGACCTAAGTGTCCCAAATGGTCGTGCCAAAGCAAGGAAACTACTCGAATCACCCGGCTTCTAGGCGGCCACATGTGGCGTGTTTCGAGTTGGGAGACAACCCATTGGCCCTAAATCAAAGCTGCATGCTCATTTTTTAAGGTGGTGCAAAAATATTCCACTCTATTTTCTTCGGTGGTTTCATTTATGATTATTATCATATCGAATATCCTTAAAAACTCAACGACATGGAGAATTTAAGGTCCCTTAAATGGTGATTCAGTACCATTCATACAATGAGGAGAGTGCCAATACTCTTAATCAAGTTAGATAGATCTGAAGTGGTTGTTAGAGATGTGATTTAGGTATAAAGTTAGTGTGCGTAGTATCGCATTCATCCAAACAACTAATTCTCCCATATTCCTACCTAATCACGTGTTTAGTTGAATTGGTCACATGTATTAAGAAACATGATTCAATTAACTCATAGTCGAGGACAATATCCATAAGATTATCCATAACTAAAACATACACCAAACTTGAATCCAAGAACATGGAAAAATGTTCACAAAGTAAATGGTTTACTAAAGGATTCAGTTAACAAGGCCATCTAAGTCAAAATTATGTTTTTCCAATGATGTTTGGTGGAGCAAAATTAGTCTCACATATGGACTATGAGAATGGT